ACATGAAACTAAAAATCAATAAGAAAATTTCAATAATTTTAAATTTTATTTTTAATCCAGTGCCATAAATTTAATGATAATAGGCAACTAGGGGGAGCGTGTAAATCAGCAACAGTTGCTTCCAACGGGGTGTAAATTAGCCGAACGACTCGTGGAACGAAACGGGGCGAGATAAAGACAGCGAAACAAGCCTTGATTGCGTTTCTTAACCGTGTTGAATGGCCCGGGTTTTATTTACAATTCTCAGCCAGCTCCGAGTAATCGTAGGGCTGTTCCGTGCGATAACGCGACGCAGGGGGTGTTTCTCGACTTCCCATCGCGTTGTTTTCTCGCCCAATCTAAAGTTTCTGCAACAACGCTCGCCTATCGAGTGTCCTACCGTTTGGACGTCGTTGATTTCGACGCGGTGGAAACATCGCGACGAAATTAACGCCCCTGTAGCGAAACTCGTTAAAACGTACCGTGTAATTACTTTTTACCCGGACCAACCCCGCGATGGTTGTACACCGATAGAATGGATGAAAATAATGAAAAATCGTCGTTGTTTCAATCTTTGCCGTGTTCGAAGAGAATTCCGGTGATTTTAGAGCACCGGGTATAAACGATTCTGAACATCGAACGGATCAAAGTGGATTTGCTCGGTTTACAGCTAAATCCCCGATCGGGGATGTTTTGTGGAGCCGGTACTTTACTCGATATTGCTTGCAAAACCGTTTTTCAGAAGATACACAACCCTTTCTCGCCCTCTTTCTGCAAATTCCTTGGAACTAATGGAGATTTGTTCAGCTGTCGTGAAATCGTTCCAACCCTTCCTGAGGATTCCGTTAAACGGTTAGAGTACAAACATAGTTCAAAAAGGATTAATTCCATCCAATTGGAAAACGTTCACGAACTATAGAACGTTTGCGATGTTGTTGAAAACATTGGAGAGGAATAGCGAACGAGTGGGGAACCCTTCGATACACACGGTATTTACAGTTCGCCCTGATAGACAGAACGATGTTCTCTTTGTTTGCCCTCTTTTCGAAGCAGAGTTCGTCGAGTGTCTAAATTATCTCCTCGATGCTAAATTATTTCTGAAGAGTCGCTACCTAGGAGAACGCTTCCTGTTCCCAGTACCGTACAAAAGGACTTCCTCCTACCAAAAACTTCGACGAGGGAAGCTCTCGAGTGCGATCGAAGCGTGAAGAAGAGTAAAAGCAAACTTCTCGGATGAATCGCGAAACTGTACGACATTAAACAAAACACTCAGGTTGATAATCTAAACTTTACGATTAGACTGCAATTTAGTTTCATTTTTAAGTATCATTCACCCCTAGGGTGGGGGGGTGAACGAAGAGATAGGAAAGTTTAAAGAAAGCACGGGGATCAAGAGAAAGGATAGCGAGAAACAGGAAAGGTGGGATTGCGGCGAAAATAAACGAAAGGGAAATGTAATTAAAAACTTGCCCCCAGCTAAGTAGTAGGAGGAAATACGGAATGGAAGGTTTCGCGAAATTCCTTGCGGGAATTCAAGAGAACCAAGCGTCAAGATTAAATAGAGATTGAACTATATATAAAACCTTACTCTTGAGAAATTCTCCGCTGTATTTGAAAGATTCAGGAAATCTGAAATATGCAATAAGAACGCGGGGTGTACATGAAGAATGTAGAAGAATGAATAACGAAAATAAAAAACAACAGAAATTTAGACGTTTTTAAATTTCACTGAAAATTAGGGGTGTGAGGGTATTCGAGCCTCGGGCCAGAAATAATAACAGTTTCACTCGTCCATTCAAACGAAAATTAATTAACCCGGTGAAGCGAATCAAATGCATTGATTTAAAAAAATCAGAAATTGATTGCTTTATAAAAATTCTTTAATAAACCCCGATTTTACTTCAATCAAGTTAATTGAGTCGGTGCAATTAAAATGCAACAAAATTGCAGGAATATGAATTTCAATTATTTCCTGTTTACCTCTGTTTCCTTTCATAAATCGTATCCACAGTTTTGAATAAGATTCAATAAATAAAAATCTACAATCTGTCATAATAATTCCCTTTGAATAGAGGAATTGATCGCCCTCAAAGGGTTGTAACGTTTACTCGTAATAGCGTAACATTTTCATTGTAAACACCGTTTCGTTTATGTACTATTAAAAATTAAATAACAATTTAAATTCGCTATGAATTTTATGGGACCTCATAGATTATGGAGGATCTCCTTGTGCATTTACGATCAAGTAACGGGATGATTTGTCCGACACGGTCTGATTAGGAGGATCGATACACGGACACGGAATCCCACACCCTTGACATCAGCCAAAGGGCTCTCGTATTAATCCTCTGTGAAGGATTATAGATTCAATCGATGTTGACATGTAGCCGGGATCGATAGCGGGATCCTCTTCCTGTCCAATCGTAAGCTCGCTTTGAAATCTTAATCGCGAGAGAAGGGACAGCTTCCCTCGGTGAAACATCTCAATTTTAATCAAGAAGCTACCCAATGATGTTCCCTCACAAGGGAATTGGTCAAAAGTGGATGGTAGAGTTACATATGTTTATTCGAAAGAGCATGAAACGAGGAGTTTATGGTGCAATTTTTGGGTGCCATTGGCAACGGGTTCGAAAGTTATGGGACTTTGAAATTTTCATATTTTTAAGTGCAAATGCATCACACATGCAATTTTCTCTGAAACTCATCTTAATTATTAGTAAACATCATCTAATCATCTCGAATTCATGCCTTTGTCAGTTTTACACTTAACTTTCACTTCATATTTCGATTTCTCATGTTTTCTAATCATTTGCACCATATGAAAATTTCACAGTCCCATAACTTTTGAACCCGTTACCAATGGCACTCAAAAATTGCACCAAAAACTCCTCGTTTCATGCTCTTTCGAATAAACATATGTAACTCTACCATCCACTTTTGACCATTCCCTTGTCAGAATCTAAAATATTAATTCTGTAAAATTATTAGTCAACCCGTATCTAAGATTGAAAATCTTGAGAAGGGGGTTAAAGCATTTGGACTTTCTGTCACTTTTGTACAGGCCAAACGGTAAGAGTATTCAAAAAAATTCTTGCGCCATTGTGGGTCAAAATCTCAACGAATGGCCAAAAATTTTTTTTCTTTTTTTGCCACTTCCGGTCTGACCGGGGTTGAATCTCGCTCTACTTTTACCTAATTAAACATTATAATCAATTTATTCTCTCCCTGAATCGTTGTATCGATTCAGTCAATGGAACATCGTTTGAAATCTTCCCATTTCATCCCCGATGAATATTCTTTTCAAGCTCTGTCAATAACCACTCGATCTACGCATAAAGGGAAGAAAAGCAAATTCTGTTAAATGGAAAGGAGAGTTTGATCCCATTCAATGAACAATCACTGCAAAGTATTCGTATCGTATCAATCGAGATTGAAGCGATCCCTTTTCAACCCTGCTCTCATTCGAGGGAATATTTTTCATGGACGATCGATCAGCGTGTGTATTTTTTTTTTTTTTCAAAAGATCGACCAGGCTAATCGGGATAAAAACCATCGTATCGAGAGTCAGGTTTTAAAGTTCGTTTAATTTAGCGGCCTATTTTTCGCGTTCCCCAGGCGTGTATTAATCGGTTCTCCAGCCACGTTTGGGATACCTTTTTCAAAGGGTGCAGCTGGCAGATTGCTTGCTGCGCGATGGAAAGACGCGGAGTTCCGGAGGGATTACAGGGATGAAGTATCGGAAAAGCACGGCCGCTATGCGCGTCGACCAATATTCCAGCCGATAAGTCTTTTACAGCTCTTGTCCGTGGCTTTCCTGCTTATTCTACACAGGGTGTTTTCAAATTACAAACTGAAAAGAGAAAAAAAAAATTTCCCTCCCTTCAATAATTCCGGCGAAATAAATGAAAAGATAATTGCAAGTTGTAAAATGAAAATAAAAATTCGTAAAACTGGCATCTCGTCGAACAGAAACAACACATTTTTAGAACAATGACTGAAAATTGCTGGCACATTCATCTGCCATGAAAAAACAAAACCCACTTGCATTGTTGCCAGGTGATTAATTTCGCTCCCATTATTTTGTAGAGAGATTTTAAAACAGGAACGAGGAAGGAGGGATGCAGTTTTCGCATCGGGTGAACGGGAAATTATTGCTGAACGCAACGCGATCTACTCGTTCGCTCGCTCGTTAGCGTGTGATTAAAATGTTTAATTGATGCAGTCTCCTATCGAGAGTCGTCATTACCCAGAGCGAGCCAATTACAAACTTCGCTGCCTTTGTCATCCTGCTGGTGCCTCCATTACGTTCCAATTACCAGTTTTATCGTACCAGTGACAAAGGTTCTACTGTTATTATACTTACAGTAACGTTTTCAATCCCATCATCAATGATTTTCATTAATTTCCTAATCAATACAGATGTTGTAAGTTACATTCGACGTGGATTGTTGTATAATTAACTCGAGAAATTGTAGCTTACCTGGTGAAGGATTAAAGGTAATAGGAACGAACGGCTGGAAGGCAACGGAGCCTTCTCCGTTGATTTACAAATTTCCCAGACGTGATTTTCTGGAACATCGAGCGAACGGCTCGGCAAACGTAGCCTCGAAGCGTAATTACGTTAAATAAACACGTCGTTAACTACGTAGTCTAGCGATTGAGCCGTTTAAATGACTGCGAGCGACTGAAGAGGTGTTTGGCAAAATCTGTTTTCAAAATCCAATTCCTCCTTACAAAATACACCTTATCTTTGATAAATGGAGAACGAGAACAAACGCAAATAGATAATTAGAGTTTCAAAATACAGTTGGAACCGAGCGGAGTCTGAAAATCCTAGGGGAGATCCATGGAAAGTGGAATCGCGTTCTCTAATATTCCCAGCCACAATTATAATAACTAGTTACGAATTTAACTTTGAAAATTTTAAAAAAAATTGCTTCAAAGTTGCAACTCACGTTTGAAAAACGAAGACTACAAAAACAAACGTAACGAACTAACCCGTATCTCGTTTTTGCTTGCAGTTACCGGAAGCAGTGAGCAGGAACCATCGCTACTCGCCGCTCCAGTAAGTATCATGAAATTTTAATAGTTGTTGTTCTCCAGCCAAATGAGCGTGCAATGAATATTTATATCCCCGCGAAACAGATTTCCAGCCTGCAGGTTGTAGCGTGCAATATGCACGAAACGTGCGTGGAATGTCCTATAAATCTAATCAACCTTTTTCTTTTTTCTTTGCAAGCTCATAAGGTGGTGGAGAATTTACATTTCATATATGTAGGTGTGATATTCAACTCTTTCTATTAGGTAGTGAGTATTGCAGTGAGCATACTTGGTTTCCTTAGGGAAAACAACGGTATAGAGGAAAAAGGAATCGCGGTTACTGAGAAAAATTGTATATTTTTCCTTCGCGCCATTTTCCCTAGAGAAGACCACCATGCTTGGAAGTGGCAGAGATTTAACTTGGTTAATAATTTCGTTAAATACTTGGAAATTCGTGCAGTACCGAGCGTGGTAGGCTTCCCTAGGTAAAATACAAAATTTTTCTTAGTAACCTCCAATCCTTTTTCCCCTATACCGCCTTTTTTCCCTAAGGAAGCCTGCCATGCTTAAAAGTGGCAGAGATTTAACTTGGTTAATAATTTCGTTAAATACCTGGGAATTTGTGCAGTACCGAGCATGGTAGGCTTCCCTAGGTAAAATACAAAATTTTTCTTAGTAACCTCGAGTCTTTTTTTCCCTAAGGAAGCCTGCCATGCTTGAAAGTGGCAGAGATTTAACTTGATTAATAATTTCGTTAAATACTTGGGAATTCGTGCAGTACCAAGCGTGGTAGGCTTCCCTAAGTAAAATACAAAATTTTTCTTAGTAATCTCGAGTCCTTTTTCCCCTATACCGCCTTTTTTCCCTAAGGAAGCCTGTCATGCTTAATACTATACAAATTTCCAAGTATTTAACAGAATCGTTAACCAAGTAAAACCTCTGCCACCGAAACACTTGACATATCTCTATCAACCTCATAAATCAACCTCCTCCTCCTCTTACCACTCTCCCTCCGTCGACCAACCACCATTTATTCCCTCATCGGTCAACCCTTTCCACCTTTCGAAAATAATGCACAAGCTTTTGTAGGACACTGATTTAGATGTATCTAGCAGGCAACGCGAAGAAACGCTATGGTAACTGGCAAATAAATCCGTCAGCCGTCGGAACGGTTTTCATTCGCTTGTGTTCCAGGCGGCGAGTAGCTGGGCGACGAACATAACCGGGTCGAGCAGCGCGGTTACCCAGGACGAGGTCGTACCGGGACATGCCCCTCGGTCGCAAGGTGAGCGTGAACGGGTGGAGCGGACCGATAACGAGCCTCAGATGAAACGGGACGAGGTGGGGGCGGGGCAGGAGGATTACGAGGGCGAGGACGAGTACGAGGACGAGCTGAAGGCCGTCGCCGAGTCGCACGAGGCGATGTCGAGGGACGACACTAGGAATTTGAACGCGTCCACGGCAACGTCCAGCAGGCTCGCCGATGGTACGTCCATCGTTGCTTCGAAGAACTTCGACTCGCACGAGGTGATCAACGTGAACAATTCCGACGAGGATGTCGCCTCTAACGAAGCCATCACCAACGAGGTTGTCGACAAGTATGACGAAGAGGTAAGTGGATTTCTATTTTATTTCAACCCCCTTGCCCTGGGAATGATAAAATTGCAAAGCTGGCATTTCTTAGGAATCTCAGAAAATATTATATTTTCTAATAATCGACGATGGATCATCGATTTTTTTCACGAGTTACTCGATAGACGTTCTGATAAAACTTTGTAGCTTCTTTCAAAGTTAGATTGAACGATCGAGGATAGCCGAGGATGGTACTAGGGAGGATATCTAATCCGTTGGATTGCGGTTGATTGGAATATCTGGTGCGAAGCGATCAGACAGCTTTCATTTGAGCTACGGAATAGAGTTTCGATTGATCGATGTGGCATACTCGCTGGTATAAACTGTTCCTTTGCTCGTCGTTGCACCCTGTGACCTGGTTTCCCTCGTAGAAACGATCCGGTCCAGCCTTGACCACTGTTTCGTCGGAAAAGTTTGCCAGTCGAACCCTGACCCGACCGCGGCCCAACCCTGACCTACCCCTCTTCCACGATCTTTCACTTTGTTTTCACGTGGCCGTACGCCAAGATAACACGTTTGTTTATCCGAGTTACATGCGATCCCAAGTTTTCCAGAAGTTTAATCCACCTTCGTGCGCGATGGGATTTGATTCGATAGAGGTGAATCACGTACGGGTGAAGTTTGCGAGAACACAAGGAATACTTTCGAAACGAGTCGCACTCGTGTAGCAGATTATAATCTAGATTACGGCTAAGTAAGTCGTATTCGTGGAATTGTTAAAGTTTAATTGAAATTTCAGATGTGCTTTGAGAAAATTGAAGGTGGAGCTCTAACATCTCCATGTTCGATTTTCAGAAATCCTATTCTCTTAGAAAAATCAAGTACATTTAATTTTATTTTTCTAATTCTAATTTCTAAATTTCCAAAGAATATTTTTCAATCAAAGTCCACTCATAATTAAATCCCTTAAACTTCTAATTTACCCCTTTGAACTGTTCTATAAGAATTTCTCTAATTTTTCTAATTCTAATTTCCAAATCTCTGAAAAGTTACTTTTATTCAAAGTCTATTCACAGTCGAACGTTTTCATTCCTTAATTCACCCCTTTAACTCTTCTCCTTTGAACCGTTCTCCAAGAATTCCAAGCGTCCCCGTTATAGCATCGTAGAGATTCGAATCAATAGAATAATTCAGTTTGTACGTGTCGAACACATTGCAAGTGTAAAATGAAACGTAACACACCGAGAGAAGATAAAAGGATGCAGGCAATAGAAGTTCGAAGGCATTTCGAGGGCATCGCAGCAGAAGACGATCTCCTTGTCGTTTAGTGTTTATCGGTATACGTTTAAAAGGTGGACTGTATCGGAAAGTACTTTGCATCGACGTAGGTCCGAGCCGTTTCACGATTGGAAAGCCATTTGTAACGTCTTAAGGAGGAAACTTTAAATTTTAAACTCACCCTATCTGTCTCTTGATACATGTCCCAGTCCAGAAGCTCGAATCGAATACCTCTTGCACGATTTGCTTGCAATCTTGTTTTATCGGATTTTATTCTCCAAACTCTTCTGCTATTCACCTATTTCTTCATCCTTCTACATTTTCAGTACATTATTTTCTTATTTTATTTATTTACGAAATTATATCGCTCGGTCGCAGGTGGCAGAGTTATTAAAATACAAAAAGGAGAGGAATTCGAATCAGAGCGAAACTAACAGAACCAAAACGAAACGTGTCCCTACGGTGAAGAAGGAGCTGAGCACGCAGAAGGAGATCCTGATAGGAAGCAACGAGACCCAGGTGCCGAAAAGTCTACTTCCTCCGGAAGACACGCTAAATCGACTGAACGAAGAGACTGAGGCAATTCGAAGGCGAAACGTCGATTCGAACGGGGTGAGTCCAATAACAGGATGTATTGTAATTTTCTAAAGAATTTCCATTAATAAATTAATTATCTTATTTTTATAATACTTGAATTATTTAGACTAGAATTATTAACATTATTTGGACGACATTGATTGCTTGAAAAAAGAGCCTAAATATGAAAGGAACAAATGTTTCTGTTCGCAGCAGATAAAATTCGAAGATCCAGGGTATTCCGAGAGATCAGCAGGCGAGGCCGAAGTTGCCGTGGACAATCGATACTCGGAATCGGAGTCAGAGAGCCCGAAGAAGTTGGACAAGAGGCAAGAAACGGTCCTGAAAGATCTGAAATCCTATTTGCTGACAGAATACGCGACCGAGCAGGAGCAGCGGGAGAAACTTCGCCAGCTGGGGGTGAGTTTTGTCACCCTAAAACTTCTTCCCTTTTTTTATTAATAATCGATCTGAAGCGAAGGCGAGTAAATTTACAAATAACCAGCTTCATTTTGAATCTATACGTTCCTTTTTTCACAAAAAGAAAATTAAAATAAATCGTGCGATTTTAGGACATTAAAAATTTTCACGAATTTCTTTTCTCGATTAATAAATCACGAGTTGAGAGCTTTCTATCGAAGAAGATTCCGAGATCCTTTGAGAGATCCTCGGTATACGACCGTCGATGAATATTTCCTCTTCATTGTTTCCACTTTATGCCACGTGCTCGACTAAAATTCCTTCGCGCATGGGTGAATCCTTTGAGCGTTGCACATCGTTTCTGCATTCTCTTTTCGCGTCTGTCCATCGTCTGTTCGTTTCGTAGCTAGGAAATCCGATTTTGAAAACGCCTCTCCTTCCGTTCCTCGTCTATTTCGCTGTATTATTCATTAACAATACTGCAGGAAAATTACCAGTATTAAAAATAATTGTTGTTGAAAAATATCAGGCGCGGAGGGTAAGAACGAAAGGGTACCGTGTCAGATACAAATGGGGATGTTGTTCGGGGGATGATCGAGGGAAATAAAAGCACGCGGGCTAGATGATAAATGTTAGCCGAGCTTTCGAGCCGGTTAACCACTGGCAAGTTTTCTTTTATTACCAGCAGAGACAATGGTTCTTTCTTTTCTTCGACGGTCGGGACTATTTGTTCCTGTCTCGTACGCACAAAACACCGGCATTCCTCGACATCCTGTATTGTACGTTACGTGGAATTTCGAAGGAAAGACGATGGATACTGTAATTGCACTTTGCTCCAAGACCTTTCCCTTTGTCGCGAAGAGAACAATTACAACACCCCTGTATGTGAAATAATTTATCAACTATGACCAAGGGTGGATTGATTAAAATTAGGCTGTACTCGTGACACGAATTGTATAAAATTTTTAAAATAAATTCCTTCTTCACCATCGTGGTATAATTAATTAAAATACGAAGGAAGATTCATCCTATACTCGTGCCAGTTCTAGCAAGGATAATTCGAGGATCGAATTTTCCTTGCTCCAGAGCTTCCTTCGAAATATCTCTGCGGAAAATTGCGCAAGGTTCTTTGACACGGTCCACGAGAAAAAGGATCAGGCTGGGGTTTCATTATCGTCATTCCCCCGACCGACAAGTACAAAAGATCCATCCTACCAGTTAATTCGATATTCTTAACGCGACGCCTGAACCACCGCTCCTGTAATTGCCACGACAATTGGATCCGCGAATAAGAAGCGTTTTTACTGGCAATTCCGACCGCATCTTCTTGATGAAATTTAAACGGGCTTGTAAGAAATTACCACCCTTCCGGTGGTTGATTAGCGGGCAAATCCCTTGCTAATTGCAATCTATGCAAAAAGGAATCAATTTGACAAATTTTATTTCGAAAATTGAGATCAATATTCTTCTTTTTCCATTATTTTACAAGGAACGTGTACACTTTAGATCCTAATATCATCCCTATAAAACACTAGAAATTTTATTAACACGACTCAGAAAGAAAAAGTACGGAAAAGTAGAAGATATCTGGACACCCAAAAGAAAAACTGGAGTCGGTCTTACTTTAAAATTATTTATTGCATTATCTCGCAGAGTAGAACCTCTTGACTTCAAACGAATTGATCGTCCCTCTATTATCTTTATTTAGGGTAGAAGTTCTCAGAACGTTGAGGCATTTTTGCCTCGAGTAGAACATTTCTACTTTATTTTCAATACGTAAGTGCTCATCAAACACCGTAGTTCTATTATTAAAAAATTCTTTTTTATTAGAAGAACAAATTTTACCATTCTATCTGTCATCTTCCTCTCTGTCAGTCTGGTTAAAATGAATTCTTTCTCCTCCTCTGTTTAAGTGCACCCCAGTCTCTTCAACCATCTTCTCTTCGTTCCTTCTCTCTCCCTCTCTTTCTAGAGCTAATTCAATAGCCGTGACAATTGAGAGAGGCCGTGACTGCATACGGAACGTTCGCGCGAAGGATATTGAATTAGATGTTAAAATGCGGCTCTTTTGTGCAAGATAGAAAGCCGCGACGATAAGCGTGCCAACTAGGTGGCACGTTAATGGCTTAGAAGAGACTGGCGACATCTTTGCAGAGGAACACGTCAGGATGAAGTTTTCAAACGTAAACTTACTTAAAAGCTTCCCTTTCTGTTATCTTTACTTACAAAATAGGATAAAGAGGCCAGTAGATGGACAGTTTAGCTGGTTCCGAAGTTTATATCAAGTTTTGTTTTATAAAAAAAAAGAAATCAAATTTAATATACAAATATAAATCATTATATTATATATATTTAAAAAATTAAGTTTTTTAATAATTATCAATTAATCTACGATCGTTCATCCAATGCCTTGCTCTAGGTACTCTACGTCCACCTTTATCATCATTAATCATAATTCTATTAAAATTATCCCAAGTATATAATCCGAGTTCCAAATAAATGGATGACCACTTACAAGGGGAACTACCCAAGTGTTACACTCACTTATTAATGAAACTTTGCCAGCTTGTAGAGCTCGTCGAGCTGAACACGCCTATACCCCGTTTTGTGGGGAGACGACTAATTGTTCAAAAGATATTAATAATTAAAGTTAGTTACTACTTACATTGAGAAGTATGACAGACTCACATATACAACTCGCAATCTAGAGATCCACGGTTCAAATCCTTGATTCCCAACATTTTTTTTTGTTTTTTTAATGATAATTTGTCTCTTTTTGAATAACTATTACATAAAAATTATCATAAAAGAAAAAAAATTTTTTTGTGAACCAAAGATTTGAACCGAGGACCTTCGAATTGCAAACCACGGATCTGCTGCGTGGTTAAACACGACTCGTAATCTAAAGCTCCTCGGTTCAAATCCTGGGTGACCGTTTTTTTTTTTTTCTTTTTATAATGATAATTTTTATGTAATAATTATTCAAAAAGAGACAAATTATCATTAAAAAAAAAAATGTTGGGAACCAAGGATTTGAACCGTGTATCTCTAGATTGCGAATTGTATGTGCGAGTTTGTCATACTTCAGAATGTAAGGAGTAACTAACTGTAATTGTTAATATCTTTTAAACAATTAGCCGTCTGCCCACAAAACGGGGTATAAGTGTGTTCAGTTCGACGAGCTCTACAAGCTGGCAAAGTTTCATTAATAAGTGAGTGTAACACTTGGGTAGTTCTCTTTGTTAGACGCATCCTGTACGATCAGAAATAGTTTTATACAGTTTATTTCTCGTAAGTGGGTCAAAGTGACCCTGCATGGTTTAAGAGATACCGAAGTGGACCAAAGTACTCTAGGTTGAACCACTGCAACCGCGAATATTCCCAATTCAGGATGCAGCGTTGCGTGTTCTACGCTCTCCTCGCGACTCCGGGGTCGTTAATGATCGTCGAGTCACGTGGGTCGGCAAGTTTCCGGCGACGCGGTGGTATGCACATTTCGCGAAACATATTCGAGCGGAAAAACGAGGGGGAAAACTCGAGCCGTCCGCGCGGAACGAAGAAAAATTCTCATGCTCGAGTCGTCGTTTCGAAATTCACCGGAGAACGTTCATTAACGAGTTTCGTTCGTGTTCATCTGCACCGATTTTGTTCATTTCATTCGCGCGCGTCGTTTAACACGTTTCGTCTAACAGCCATGGTTTTTCAGATTTTTCTTTTTGAATATCTCTCGATTACCTTTATTATCATCGATTGAATAATTTTTTTTATTAAATCGTTCAACAGGCTCGAGAGGACGCTTTAGCCGAGAACGTGCTGAAGTTTCTGGTGAAACTAGCGGAGAATCCGAACCGATGGCAACGGGCGCAGAAACTTCTCTGTAAGTAACGTTATCTGTATATCAGAAAGGGAACGAGACAGTCGAAACTCTGCTCGCAATTGATATTCAAGTAAATACCTACAGTTCAGTCTTCATTAATTCCGAAGCGTATTGATGAGGTTCCTTCTAATTGCGCCATGTACAAACCGGTAACAAAGACTGGTGACACAACTTGGAATCAATTCCGTCTGTTTGCCGAGTTGTACTAGCGAACTTCCCTCTGGAATCTTAATTATTAGTTACGCACCCATCGCCAATTAAACAGTTACCATTTCTAGTAGTGATTTAAACTAATGTTCGTGAACTATTGTTATTCGAATTGTACAGCAGTGATTTGGATTAACCCTTTCGCTACGGCGGTCTTGCTGTACGAGGCAATCCTAACGCAGACGCACTTAAAAAATAAAAATAACAAAATAATAATCTCGTAATATAAAATAAAATAGAAATTAATAGAAATGAATGCGAAATTCACCATCTACTAGGATGGGTGACTATAATTAGTAGCGAAAGGGTTAATAGCAATTAAAATTATCATTCTTTCACTAAATAGAAATAGTCGAACAGATTCTAACCAAAATTGTTCAGAGAAATTCGATGGGTCGGTTTGAAAGGAGAAAATCGGTTCGCGAAGAGGAAGAACCGTGCTGTTAATCGCCTTCCAGTCGACTCGGGAATCCAATAAAGCCTCACAATAGGTCGATTAGATACCTAGTGTCTGCATTATTGTTCACTGTAATTGCCTCTCTGACAATTAGTCCGTCGGTGTAACGTGAAAATCAATGTAATTCGCTTTGGAGGCGATGCTCTTCGCTCGCGTTCACCCCATCCCTTTGTCCTTCTTTTTTCATCCATTCCCTCGTTCGATTGCTTCCTATCCGCTGGAACAATACGTTAACCGGCTCCTGTATCGATGTACTTTCTATTTTGCTCGAATGTAATAGAATTACCTGAAAACAAGGAAAATGACCGCATTTGTAATCGAGGAAATGGATTTTTTTAAAGGAAAAGCATAGAATAAAATTGTGATCATTGTAGTAATTTATTTTGTATACGTTTATCTGACGTTGGTAGAGAGGGATTATTTATACAGAAACGGTGAATAATTTTGGAACCAGTGAGCCGGGGTACATCGTGCAGTAGCTAAAGCGCTTTGCACACAGAGACCATCTTAATCTCCATTACAGGAACAATGCCGCTTTAATAATAATAGCCACTTGCTGGCGTTGATGGATGAACGCCGCCACCGAATACCAACTTCGAGCGACATTTTTTTATTTTATAAAAAATTGAATAATTTATATAACCCGCTTTCCCATGGACGATAGCGAATTTTTTAAAATATAAATATTTTACTGAAATAAATGCTGGGCGGATGCTACAATCAAAATAATGGTTGTTCTCTGTTGATTTTATCAGTAAACGCGGAGAACGAGTTGAATCTCTCGAGAAACTCCGTAGACCCGTCGAAACGTAGCTACGACTCGACGTCCACATTGTTCCCCCCAACCCCACGATCGCCCGAAGACTCGAGGAAGTCCCGTAAGAAGTTGAAGAAGAAGAAAAAGAAGCCGAAGCATCGTTTCTCTACGACCACGTTGACGCCGGTACCAGCGACGCCCCCTTTGTTGACCACCACAGAGACGCCATGGCAAACGACGCCGGTTCAATGGCGTCTGGTCGCGGAAAGGCTCTTTGGACCGCCGTGGCAGCAGGATCTCCAGGAACAGAATGAAAAGACCAGCGCTCGCTACTCCGTTTCCCAAAGCCCTAGAACCTTGCCCTCTATTCGGGATCTGATCGAAAGAAGCAAGCCGAAGAGCAATCTAAAGTCGTTCCCGTCTGATAGAAAGGCTATGATAACGGAAGACGTCGCCGAACTTGGCGATCAAAGGGTGGTGCGGTTCGGCAACGTTGGAAATCGTCAGACAGCAGGTATTCAACCGCATGGGGAATTTGTGAACGTCTATGACAGATCTACAGGTACGTTTAGGTATTAGAAACTTGGAAAATTTAAGAAAGATTTCGAATGTAGCTGTCCATGTACCCTAGCCCGTCGAGGTGTCATACATGATTTTCCTGAAAGTAATAATTTAATGATCAATTTTCAGACTCAGAACGCATTCCAGATTACGACCTAGCCTATCACCGACCCAGGTACAATCCGCTACTGACAGGACCTCGCGACTTCCTACGAAGACAGGAGGAGGATTACCAAAGCGACTCCAATATGCAGGTGGACGGTTTTGGGCGCAGTCAAGACTACGAGGCGCAGGGTGGTGACTTTCCATTGAGCAAAAGCTGGCCAGACATCTTTCGATACACCGGACCATGGAAAACCGAGGAGCGTCCTTTGATGCCGGTAGCCTTCGAGAAGTGGCCCTGGAGGCAGCCTCCGGCCGATCCCAAGTACTGGCCGCAGCGTAACAGTTATTTGCCTCCAGAGAGGGGCTACTGGTCAGCCTTTGGCAACGAAGAGGAGCCGGATGATGTGGCAGAAGCTGAGAAAGTTTGGCAGGAACAACGCGCCCAGCATTCCTGGGACAGAGAGAGATCCTGGCCCGTGGAGAAACCTTTGAAACTGCCTCCTTCGTGGCAGCAAAATGAAAGACCAGCGAAGGTGTACGATCGTGATCAATCCAATGATGCATGGGAGAAGAGCAGGAATAGATCAGAATTGACCAGGTCGAAAGAGTCCAAGGAAAAGGTGGTACTACCTCAAATCACGATGAAGACCTGGAATAGTCTGACTTCGGACCCAGCTACCTGGCCCCAGAAGCTACCGGGCGCGAAACCCTGGCCCAAGGACGAGAACGGGAAGTCTTACAATCCGAATGCCGACCTGGTGAAGAAACTGGGCCTGGATAAGCAGAACGGTGCGACGTGGTCCAAGGAGGAAGCTGAGAAGTCGAATGGAGAACGAAAGCTGAAGGAGGACAAACAGAGCAGACTGTTTGCTTCGAAGGATCTTAATAAAAATGAAGAAATACCTCAGACAGAGATGTCCAAGTACAAATCCAACGATGAAAGGAGCAATTTCAGCGACTACAAGACCAGATCTAGTGAATCCATGAAACCCTGGGCGATGGTGGTTGGTAAGAGCTCCAAGGACTGGATGAAATCCGAAGACATGCAGGCTGACGACTCTGCTGCTTGGAGGAGAAAGTACAATGGTAAGAACTCTTGGTCTGATGAAGCTACCCTGCCTAAGATCCAGTCAGTTGGAGCCTGGGTGATGGCTGCTGACCAGTCCACCTGGAAGCCTTATCAAATTAAACCAATGGAATCCTCAGGCGAGGTCTCCTCCAGAAGATGGCCCAAATCAAGATCAAACAAGGGATCTTGGGAGAAGATAAACGATTCCTGGATGGACCAGTCTGATGTTCCCCTAACAGACCTATGGCCAGGTAAGTCCAGTAAACCAGGCTCCTGGTTCTCAAAGACGAAGGATACCGATGGTTGGACGTCAAAGTCGAACAGTCCTGATTCCTGGAAGATGAAAGGGGATTGGATATCCAAACCAGAGTCCTCATCCTGGACGTCCAAGACGGAGGACAATGATTCTTGGCCCTCCAGAGGAAACGGTGGTTCCTGGTCGACGAAAACCAACGAATCCTGGTCCTCCAAGGTAGATGATGGTTCCAAGTTCAATAGAGACACCGGAGACACTTGGTCCAGGAAGTCGAGCGAGCAGAATGGCTGGGGGTCGAAGAACAACGAATTGACCCCCTGGCAGCAGAAGATCAACGACGAATGGAACTATGGGAAGTCTAGTTCCACGGGTACTTGGCCTACCAAATGGAAACAGTTCGCGTACCACAGAGTGACGGCCATGCCCATCTCCAAACCTGGAACCACTTCGGACGCTGCGTCCTCTAAGTCGAGGAACGCTTTCGTCGCGGTATCTGCGGTGTCCTCCCAAAAATATTCCGGGAACGAGTGGAGGAAGAACGAGGATGAGACGAGGAACGAGAATAGACAAGAAGAGCAAGATAGATCTGGCAATCAACTTCAGGTAGGACTGGAACGACCCATCTACGAGTGGAAGAAGGATCCTGGACTGAGGACCGGCTCGAAAAGCAACGGCACAGACCCGCTGGAGAACCAGCTGGAAGCACTCAGACAAATTGACTTCTGGTCTTACAAAGAGAACGAGGCCGAGGTGAGCTTATTAAATTCCGTACATAATTTCAAGGAATGATTCCTCGTCCATACTCGATGGGCAGGGAAATGCTTTCTCGATGCAGATGTTTAATTGAATCTATAGGGAATCTATAGGGCATCGGTGATGCAACTCGATTGGGTTCGTTTCAACCCTTGAATCCTGACCCAAACTTACAAAATATTTACAAAGATATTAATTTCAAGTTAAATATATCGTTTATAAACGATTGGAAGAATAATTTTTAAAGGAGCATGGTAAAATTTTGAAAATACCAAGTTAAATTAAAATTAAAGCTCTCTCCATGGTCCGCCATTCGACGGTTAATGCAATACTAAGTGAAATTGAAATTGTTTTATTCTATCCTCGATGAAAAGTCTCTAACACGGTAAGCAACTAATGTTTCTGGATCAGTTGGTCGCAGAGTAAACGACTTTCATAAAAATTTCAACAACTTCGGGGTAATGAGTAGGAGGAAAGGAGATCGAAAAGTTGATCACATCGAAGGGATTCGCTGAAGGTGTGTCTCTGGAATGTTCTGAATCGACTCGATTGCACCGTTTCTTCCGTCGAGTTACGGTGAGAAAAGTTTCCCTGGAATTGGATCCACTGGGGTGGGAGATCGCGTATAAAAGTTTCCCGACAACTAGCCACGCGGAACGTGCGAGTAAATCACGGAGAATTGTGGTACCGAGCGTGTTGAACCCGTCCACGGACTTTCTTAACATTTAATACCCGCTTTATCCCTTTCTTTCCACAATTTCCCGTGCTTTATTTCATCAAACGATAATCCATCGATAGATTAATTAATAATAAAAAAAAGGGGGTGATCGATCGCACGCGGTGAGTCGTTGATTCGAACCGTGTTAAGATCTGACCGATCTTGTAAAGGGGCGATGTAGCAGGAATGACGTTCGAATTGGAAGTAATCCCGGGCATCGCGGTGCTTTTACGTGCCGCAATTTCCGGGATCCGTTGACGAGCACGTGCTCGGACTTGGCGCAGCTCGACCGGAAGCGAGCGACGCTTCCCTTCCAGCGCGGACCTTACGTGATCCTACGACTGATTGCGGAAGTTCACCGCGCCTCGAGCGTGCCGAACACGGAGCATCCTCGTTACTTTCCGATCCCGCAATCACGCTACAGAAATTTTTACTCGAATGAAAAAATGTATTCAAGATATTTCATCTCCATTGTCTGCAGAAGCGATTGACTTCGACCAGCGCGACCACGGAGAGGACGTCCATCATCCCGACCAATTCCTCGTCGACGATGCAACGACGGGCTGGCCTAGCATCGGGGAACAGTAACATCCTTCTCGAGACGAATCGACGGACGATCTCGATGAAATAGATCGAATGTTAAACGTTAGATCCAGAATGAGTACCGGTCTCTGTTCGATCGACAATAGGCTACCAGGCGAAGTCTCCGAGCAATTTCCAACGACTCTCTGGCCCCCTGCCAAGGTGCACCGAAGCCTGTCACCCGTCTGCGCTTTATAATTTGATCCACGTCATGGAATAATCTCTTTTTGTCCTGCCGTCACGTGTACCCGGGAGTAAACTCGTTATCCCTTCGAGCGAGTTACACTTTCCGTTTAATATATCTCCTCGATTCTTCGTTCGGCTTGTTTAATCTTCTGGCTTTGTATTTAGGAGTGCAGATTAATTCGGTGCCTTCAATTATTCCTATTCCTGATTACTATTGTAAATTTTAATATTTAAGAATTCCCGATGGTACCCATCAAATATTGTGGTTTTAAAAGGAAATTTCCCAATAAAACGAGGCGCTTAATTAATTTGCACAATTTATATTTTTTAACGTAATCAGTGCCATAGTAGATTAGCGTTATACTCGTCGGTGTGTTGCAGTTTCGAAGCGTACGTGGGCGTGTGAATAAGAAAGAATAATAAGAATTTTATTTAAGAAAATAAAAATGGGAACAATGGGGTATAAGGATATTCTAAATGTTACTTTGCGATTTCCAGGTGAATTTTCTTGAAAATTCAGAAGAAAAATACAAGAATATTGTATTACCCTCTCTTCCTTCGACTTCATTGCAGAAATGGTTGAACCTTTCCTACGGTTTATTCGATGGTCATCGAGTAGTAAAGTCAACTTCCATTGGCAATGGCACTTGAACCTCTCGATTTCATACGCTCCTGTTTTCCTGCCAGTCCTTTCTTCCTTCCTATCTCTTCAACATCTCGTATTCACGGATTTTTATCATATTTACATTCGAGATCAAAGTTGAAGACATTCGTACGGGAAATCAGATGGGAAAACGATTTTCTGATAAAGAAATTCCCTGTAAGAAATTGGTGCCATAAACCCACATTCTAAAACACATTACACCCTTAATCCCTCTTTCGAAACACTTCCCTTTGGAATCATTAGAAAGGCGATGAAAAAAGTTACCGAGAGAATTTAGAACTGCGAAAAGAGCAAGTACGATATCAATCTCTGGAAGAGCAGATAACTAAAAGAAACGAATTAAAGAGAAAAAGTGGGTAGGAAGGAAAGGTCTCGCAGGCTGGTGTTTCCAAGACAAATATGCGAGATGCAAAGGGTGAATCAGGGATGGTGGTGGTATTTTTTTTTTTCTCTTGGAGCAGAAAAGAGGGTCGACAGCGAGACAGTTCATTCTGTCGCTGGAAATAAGGGGTTGCTCGTTTAGGCGCGAGCCAGGATAAATAGCACGGAATAAACTGGCAACCGGTTCTTTTTTCACAAAGCTAATTAACCCTTTGAGTAGCAAACTTCTCAGACACGGATTGTTGCTACGAACAACTTCTTATTAAATTCAGAATCTTTCTTTTGTATCTCCATTCAGTGCCCTTTCATTTTAATCATTGTACATAACGGTATATAAATTATAAGAAAATTCATTATCAGAGACACCCTTTAATTAATTTGAAAATTTTTGAACATGATCATAGAGGATCAAACGTCCACGCGCGTGTACACATTCGAAAGGTAATTTAGCTTAATCAATTATAGCTGAAACGCTTGATTAAATCGATCAGAGAGGATTAATCGATCTAATTACAAGATTAATTCGTCATTAGGGTGCACCATTACGGGGCTAACTTAAGGGGTGGTATGTTTGTGTTAAATAGGGAACTGGTAACTTCGTTGTGCAGAGAGTTTAGTAGGAAAAATTATTTTTTCTACGGGATTGAAATCGTCGGTCACGGCTAATCATGGCCGCTCAATTCGTTCAACCCTTTGTGTGCCCTTAACGCATCACAAGTCGCCCTTCTTAGAAAATTCAGATTAACGATCGATATTATAAAGCAGTGTTCAAAATATATTCTAACGACTTCTAATGCGTTAAATCTGCCATCTCTCTTATTCATGACAATATTCGAAACACAAGGAAAGAGAAGAAACACTCTGTGTCATTAATTGTAATGATGAAGTTAATCTTGTATTTAACACGTTCACTAATCAAATATATTAATTCGCAGGTTAAAATTATTAATATTCAGAATTTTCAATGTTAAATGAAATTCAGGATGGTGAAGGTGTTAATGAAAAAGATTATCAAATTGTAATAAGGACAATGTGTTGATTGACCGATGAAGAAAATAAATGAAGGTTAAAGAGAGACTGAAAACGTGGCATATCACTTGGTATAATAATTCATAATTGGACCAGCGATTATGTGTTGTGTGTGTAGATGGAACAGAATTGAAAATGTTGACCTCTTCAGGGATATCCATGTGTACATATTATTTCTACCTTTTTCTTTTCATGCTTGACAAAGTTATAATAAATATTATTGCAAATAAAATATTCGATGTTCCCGAATAAAGATGAAACATATCTGGTTTGAAATATCCATCTTTTCACCTCATGTACGTGGAAAACTAATTGAAAAGTCCTAATATCATCGATTAAATCGTCCGTTTATTATTTTCACGATATTTAATACCTTTTATGACACAAATTTCCAGATATTTTACGAAATTGTTCGGAATCTAGTAAGTAGTATTATCTGTACCGAACGTATAATAATTCCAATCTCGTCGGTTCACTCGCTCGAATATTATTTTCATGATATTTAGTTCTCTCTATTATACAAATCTGCAAGTGTTTAACAAAATTACTTGCAGTTAGCTAAGTAGAATCATTCCTGGTATAATATGTGAAATATACCTGCACTGGTTTCCATCTCGTCGGTTTGGCCATTCGGACCAAATATTCACAACTTTGGTTAATTTTTGGTTGAATTTAAATGAAATTTAATTAATTTCCCAGTGTTATGAAAGAATATTTTCAGAATATTATAATAATGAAAAATAATATAATTTACTTTATTAACTTAAAGCAGATGTCGAATGTTAAAATTGGTTAAATAATTTCATTTTTATAATTTTAAATTAAATTCCCGAAGAGGTTGACACGAGAATTAGGTTTGCTTCTCCGTAGAACGTTCGACCATTTTCATTCGGACCAATCCGCCAGAGAATCGCGGGAAACGCTTTTCCAACAGGGACGTCGTCGATCTCCTCTCGAAAGATCGAGTTGGCGATTTATGAGGGTTCAACGTTTGAAATTTAGATGAAGTCCGTACGAATTCGAAAGTCTGTTTGTCCTGCATCCAGCTCGAATTATTTATCGATTCGTCGTCGGTGATCGACTTTGCTGGACCCGCGTGGCCATTCGTATTTTTATTACCGCTCGAAAAGCGACGGGAAAGCACTGTAAATATCCATGTTGGTCAGAAGTGTTTTTATTTCGAGGGAGAAATTTTCCATCTTACGAAATTGAATTTTCTTTTTTTTATATGATTCAACCCTATGCGGGCGAGGTGCTTTAAACCCTGCACTATGGGGATCAATGAAACTCCTTGCTCCGTGAAAAACTAATAAAAATTCTGAAGGATAAAATTCAATAGACTAACAAGTATTCAACTATTTGATCATTCTTCTATTATTTTCTGAGTTTATAATATTATTTTTTTAATTATTATGAGCTCCCTATTTTTAAAGGTTCTAACTGTGTTCCCTAATTGGAAATATACTTGAAAAATAAAATTTTGTATCCACGCACAATAAGTAGGAGTAGAAGATCTGGAATTTACAAAATTCATGGAAATTTATGTAATTACATACCTTCATAGGATCCTCTGTATTTACCCATACGTAGGATATTAGTTTGAGGGAAACGCAAGAATAAATATCGTATTTATCCCTTTTTTCCCCTTTATTTACCCCTAATTCTGTTTTTGTTGAATAGAATTTTTAAGGGGTAAATGATAATACACTTTTGAAGGATTTCTACGTTACTAATAGATGATACATTCTTCGTACAGTTCACTTCAATTGATGACAGTAGGTAATTGAGTTTCCTACTGTATCTACTGTTGTATAAGGAGATAATTATTTATCTTTGGACGGTGAGCTGCTAAAATAGCGAGCAATTAAATTAAATTTAAATTTAAGATTAGACCCTTCTACATTTCCATTTTCTGAATTTCAAATGACTTCTTTAATCTTCTGTGTAAAATTTTAAGCGACGACTCTAATTAAAACGGTAATTGCGTGTAAGTACTCACATACTTCATGAATTTGGTTCCCACCACCCTTCGAGGGTTAATTAATCCGGTGCCATGCAGAAATTGATTTTTGTTTCAAGTGAAACATGTACAATTGAAATTAGTAAATGCCTTATTAGAAAATATTTATAGAAAACTTGAGAAATGAACTGCGATTTAATTTTCCAAGAATAGATAAGAATTCTTTTATTGGACACAGTTTTACAAAAATGAGATAGAAGCAGAAAACACGATTTTGAGTGAATCATTTGTAACAAATCTCTGTTATCATTGATAAATGAAATCTCTGCTATTGATCGATAATTTGATAAAGGATAAAGGAAGTAATTAAAAGAAATTGTGAAAGCATTCGACATAAAATCAATTACCTCTTCATTTTTAAGATATTAAACAGTATTTTCTATTTAAAATGTAACGTTACATAAACAATTACTTAACTTTCCCGGGAAAGACGTTATCAAAATGTTTTTCTGAATAATCTTTTCACGGAAGTGGAAAGTTTCTTTTCGACCGTTTCTTCCACAATAACTTGAATTCTACGGCATTGAAGGTAGCAGCTGATACTTAGAAATCAATACGCGATTAATTAAACACAGCTGAGAAATCTGTTTAACGTTATAATTAGTCATCACGCTAAATTCCTGTAGTCTGAAATTCGAATATTTTTGACCCAGAATTATTCCCATAATTTACTCTTTTGATTTCTACGTTTATAATTCACGAAAAAAGAAGCGGAAACGGAAGACTGGTATCACTGAATCTTGTATTGGCAGCTTCGATGCACTTGAAAGATCAAAAGCTGGCATCAGAGAAACATTAAAGCAGCTGGAGAAAAGCAAAGTTATCAGAAAAATGAAAGAAATATTTATATGAATTTACCATTTTGATAACTTGTTTTGAGTCCACCGATTAGAAAACATTAGAAATATATTATTTTTCTTATCTGCGAAATTTTCAACAATTTATTTTCATTTAGCTCTTCAGAACGAGTAAAAGTAACCCTGGTTTAGATCCTTTCTTTATATACATTCGCCATTCTATCAATCAATAATCAATATTCTATCAATAATCTTTCGGTATTAAAAACCATTTAAAACGATGTTATTACATCAGATTGTCAGAAAAAATGATCCGTTCGTCGCGATAAGATAATTCTTGATCATTCCGATTAATTGCGTATCAACTATTTCGCGATAGTAAGTATTACTCTATATAAGGTAGTAGGGCATACAGATAGCATAGTTTGTTAATTGAAACGGTGTCAAGAAAATCATTCTTGACATGATATTTGTGAAACTTTTACTGTTCGCCTGTGCCCTGGGCATCTCCCTTGAAGAGATCAATGGACACGGGATGATGATGAGTCCTGTCAGCAGAAGCAGTGCTTGGCGAGAAGGCTTTCCGGTTGAAATTAATTACAACGATAATGAGCTCTTCTGCGGTGGTTTTCAAGTAAGTACACATGCATCAAGTTTAAGACCTTTGGAACAGTGTGTTAATATCACTTCTCTGTAATCGTAGATTCAAATGGAACAAAATGGTGGAAAGTGTGGAGAATGTGGGGACAACTATGCTCTTCCTCGACCCAGACCAAATGATAATGGTGGAATTTATGGACTTGGTATAATTGTGAAGAAGTAAGTTAATTTTTTAAAAAGAAAATTAATAATTCACACTTTCGACCATGTCGCCTGAAACCTGCAATCCGCCCAGCACTGACGTCTGAACGTCAGGTCAGCAGGGGAAGGTACAGTCATAACCAAGAATCGTTGAATAGTAGAAACTAACCTCTGTGCTATTCTGTTTCTCGGTACTGCAGCATTCGGCTTCGATTCTTGGTTATGACTGTACCGACCCCTGCTGACCTGACGTTCAGACGTCAGTGCTGGGCGGGTTGCAGGTTACAGGCGCATTTTACTCGAATCTTTAAACGTTAATTACTGAAAAACAAAGTCGCAAACACAATTTCGTTATTCTTGATTTTCGTCTTATTTTGATCCCTAGAATCACCCCTTAAAATTTTGCCCACCTGCTATCGAACACCCTGTATATGTCCTATTGAAACTATGATCCTCTGTGGACCAAAATATTATTTTAATTATTATTTATTACTATTTTATTTTCTATTATAATATTAATTATTATTTTTATACGGAATAGAATATTATTAAAAAAAATCCATTATTTTATACTTCTTTGATTAATCATGATATCTTAAATATTTTTAAAAGACGATTATAAAATTTTATTTAAATCCCGCTGATATTTCTATTAACACAATACATGGATCATTTCAAGCCTGAAATTCTGTCTCTCCCCAGGTACAGTCCAAATGAAATCATCAACGTGAAAGTACAATTAACTGCCAATCATCGTGGAACCTTCCGGTTCAACCTGTGCCAGTTGATGAACGAGCATCACGTGGAAACCGAGGAGTGCTTCGATGAACATCCCCTGCAGTTGGCAGACGGTTCCTACGAGCTGAGCGTGCCGCCCAGTAAAGCGAAATTCGACATACCGATTCGTCTACCGGCGAATTTCACCTGCGAACACTGCGTCCTCCGATGGCACTATAGAACCGGAAACAATTGGGGCGAGTGTGAAGATGGCAGTACTGGCTTGGGCTGCGGACCACAGGAAACCTTCAGAAACTGCGCTGACGTTTCTATTCTTTCTCCTGCATCGAACTCTTCCTCTTCTTAGACATCTTATTATTTTATAGATTTTCAATCGAACGAAGAAGTATTCAGAAATTTTTAAACATGGTCCGTGGCATATTTGAGGAGCTAAATATTATTTGCTAATTATTTTATAAAATCTTGATTAAGCTGGCTAATACAGTAAAAGTTGGATAAGTACCCAGGTACACCCATTAGATAACTACCCCATAATCATCCCCACCACCTAGAGAGACAAGGGGGGATAAGATAATGATTCAACAACAAAACTTTTTGATTTTTGATTTTTTCTCGTCAAAACTTTTACTTATATTTTTCGGCGCGCTTCTGATCAAATCGAGATGATTCAAATTATATAATGTTTGGTCTCGTTTTATTCAGAAGCGCGCCAAAAAATATAAGTAAAAGTTTCGACGAAAAAAAATCAAAAGCAAAAAATTTTGTTGTTGCGTTGGCATCCTATCACTAATATGTTTTCTTCGGTTCCTTTAATTCACGAACCTCTTTCTCATTCGCTCTTTGTCCTTTCCCAAGTAAGGCAACATTCCAACGTTCTTCGTTTTATAACTGCTCGGTTTTGGTCTCAACTTTCGGGTAATTATCCAACTTTTACTGTATTTGCAAATTATTTTATAAAATCTTGATTGCGTTGTCCAGTAACTCCATGCGGTTTTTTGTGAGTGAACAAAGGACGATTTTCTTTATTGAAAACCGTAACTTCGTTCAACAATGCATTAACCATTTTCATCCACTTCCTTTTGCCATTTTTCGAGTATCTTCACAATGCCTTTCTCACGCAATTTCCCGTCTTTCTTGGCGAAAATCTATTTGAGGTTTCTGTTGATGTCTTTATTGGCAACGAAGCGCTTTCCATTCAAGCGATTCCGAAGGGAGTATCACAAGTGATAACCGGAAGGGGCTAGGTTAAATGGGTATAGAAAATGCAGTATTCATATCAAGTTCCAATAATTTTTCCAAGTTTACGAAAAATCATTGTTTTTGAACGTTGCATTAACATAACGCATTTTCTATACTCATTTAACCCTTGTCCCTTCCGGTTTGTACTTGTTATACTCCCTTCGGAATTTCTTCTATGGACAGCGCCCTCTGTCAACAGAGACATCAATTCAAAGCTCGAATATTTGGACTTCGAGATCGACGGGCGATTGTTTGAGAGATGCATCGTGAATATTTTCGAAAGATAGGTAAAGGCAGTAAATGAAGAAGGTTAATTCTTGAAGGAAGTTATGGCTTCCTATGAAGAAGATCGTACTTCGTTCACATGCAAAAAACCGCATAGAATTGTTAGCCAATCCAAAATGGACAAAATATTTAACTTCATCTTTAGATCTTTTAAAAATTTTAGTAGCGAAACGATTGATGTTTAACTTTTATATCTTAGTAATTGATGTACTTTTTGATTTTTGAAGTTAATCGATTTAGCAAATGGATAGCTCAAATATCAAATGATACAGCATCAAATTTAGTATTAGATGTTATCGACATGTACTATGATTTCCGTTCGACTGTAAGATCAAAAGATAGCCAAGGACTGTTCGAGAAGTATAAAAAAGAAATTTATCTTGTATTATCTTCGAAGACTCTTTAATAATTTCGATACGTGCTGATAAGGGATTTATATTTACTGAGATTAGATAAATTGTACCTGTTTATACGAATGAATGGGAAAATAGTGAAACAAATATTGATTATTTCTATAACTATGTACAAACAAAATAGAAACAATGTATCTGAAGGTGTAATACTTCATGAAAATGAATAAAGTGTTTTTAAACATTTCAATTACATGTTCTTTATATCCCTGCACAAATTCAAGAGCTCTCGAATACAAAAAAAACAATTTTCGACGTCGAATCTTCATCCCTTACATCCCTACATTCCTTACATCGCTTCATCCCTTACATGTCGACATTCTTTTCATCCCTACATTCCTTACCTCTCCTTATCCCTACACTCTTTTCATCCCTACATTCCTTACATCGCTTCATCCCTTACATCCCTACATTCTTTTCATCCCTACATTCCTTACATCCCTATATTCTTTTCATCCCTTCATTCCTTACATCTCTGCATCCCTGCTTCGAGTAAAGGTAAGTAAAGGTAAGTTCGAGAATTTCGCGAAAATTTCGAAAAACAGCGCCCCCTAGCGGCAAAAATGTGAACTAATATTTCGATGTCGAATCAGCGCCATCTGGTTTCAGAAAAAGGAACTAAACCTTTCCGAAATTTTGGCCCTCTAGCGGGAAAAATTTGAACTAAAATTTCGATGTCGAATCCGCGCCATCTGGTTTCAGAAAAAGAAACTAAACCTTTCCGAAATTTTGGCCCTCTAGCGGGAAAAATTTGAACTAAAATTTCGGTGTCGAATCAGCGCCCTCTGGTAGCTAAAAAGGGAACTAAATTTGGACGAGACTACTTACCTTTACTTACCTTTACTCGAACCAGTTTTTGTAATATATTATTATATTTGTACTATATTTATTATAAGGGTTGCAGGGATACAAGGAAAGGGTTGAAGGGATGTAAGGAATGCAGGGATGTAAATAAGGCAGGTTTAAAAGGAGTACGGAGATGTAAAGGAATCAGGGATGTAAAGGATGCACACAGGAGTAATAAAATCAACACGTTCATCCTCCTAATGAGTTTATTCAATAAGCTAAGAAGATAAATACAACAAGTTAAATGAACGCAGAATGTAAAATAAGGGTATATGTATGTTTAGCAGGTAGATCTGTACCCCTCGGCGGTCGCTATAAGACTGATGATGTTTCACTTCGCTCTACGTCGAACGATTGATAACGGTGTCGCAGCCAGCTACCTTTACTCGAATCAGTGGCTGTAAATAATTTTTATTTTTAACGTGGGGAAAGCTTGCATAAGGAGTGTCAAATTGCGGGGGGTGTCAAATTCCTACTAACTTAAACCTCACGTCGACCAACACTGACGGTATGACCTTATGTGTATTATTCCGGAGCCCTCCACGTCTGGTACTCAAGTGCCTATCTCGAGGGAGGTCCAAACTGAGATTACCCCCTGCTACCTATCCTGTGGCCGACACCGGGGGTCGCACCCTGTGCCGACCTTTGCAAGGGTCGCGTGCAAGGGTGCCCGGACGCCAGTGATCCTGATATTCCCACCGAGTTTAATGGTGGAACTGTCGTATCTACTGTTGAAGGGGAAGGCTGGATCACCCTTCCCTTAATGCTTCTCTTCGCTGTTCACTTTGGGGGTGGCGATCCTGGGATGTAACATCTTCGCTAACCTCGGTGACTACAGATCCAACTAGATTGGACATGCCTTCGTTACTGAAACATGGCAATACTGAGCTCGAAGCACTGACAGTGAATGATGGAGTATACTCGTTAGAATCGAAGCAACATGTTATCACCGTCAACGTGCATTAGACTGTTACAGTGCAAAGTTATTTCATATTATTATACTGAAATAGGGCAAATGGCGCTCGTTCGCGCAGCACAAATTCAAGACCTCTCGAAAACAAAAACGTATCCAAACTTGTTGAATCTATAACCACTGGTAACACATCGAATTTTCTAAACGCGTCCGTTCATTGTTCGAGCTACGCGATGCAACAGGTGATAAATAATGCAAAGGGGAAATAAAACAGTTGGTTGATAATGCACGCTAATACGGCGTGCAAATTAACGGGAAACGTGTACATGCAGATTATGCGGCACGCTTTCACCGAATCTCGGCCTTCCCTCGAGCTTTGCCCTCTGTTTTGCTGTATGCGCTTCGCTTTATGCTCTCCTTATTGCATTTCACGCTCGTCGCCGTAACTTTGACCAAAATTTTACAAAATATTTGAATATGTAATGCCGCGTCTACAATGCTGTTCGCGAATAGCTCGCGAGCTATATCTGAGCTCCAAGGTGAACATCTCGCAAAAAACTCGCTAACAGCTCTTTATATTCAATTATCAGAGCTCTATATATTAAATTATTTTACAGTCACCTAAATTACCGAAATTATTTTTAAACCTCGAATCAAAAATCGTGCTAGTATTCCTCATACAGAAATTCGAAAGCATCGCATCTAGAAATAATACTTATTGCAAGGTGGTAAACACTAACCGAGTAATTAGCATTCAATGATATCTCTAGCTATGAATAGACAGATTCATTGTAATGCCGATGACACTGCCACGCAGCATTGCCCGAAACCCCTATGGGAAATCCGAATCTTGTAACGATGACTAACACATAATTTCGTAAAAAGAGAATAGTACCGGATGCGAACGTGACTTCATTCTTCTCAGATCTTCTAAAAAAGAAAGCTTCAATAATAAAGTGCATCGATGCTTGCCACTAATTAAAGTATCATTTCGTTTCACACAAAGTAATGTAAACCTCGTTAAAACATTATTTTCACGTGATCGAGGATCATGTAAGAGAACGATTTTCTTAACGCGGAGGATTTCGAATCTAGTTCACCGAGTGGATGACATAAGACACCGACACAGACGCCTGAGATCGTTACAAAGGTGAGACCAGTGTGAGCGTGGATGAAACCCACTCGCTTTTTCTCCGTGAAAGATTTCTCCAAAGTTAGCCGAGGCCTTCCTTGACCGGACTCGATTCGTCTACCGGGTGACTCATTTACCAGGAACTTCCTTCAGGATCTTTCAAAATGATCGACGCCCTTCGAGAGGAGAAATCATCTTCAGTGAGGAAATTATTTTAATCATTGGCGAATATATACGTCCTGCATTTAAATGATTCAAAGATCCCATTGTTCTGACTTTGCTGGAGTGTCTGGAGGTGTGTCGTCACCCTGACCCACTAACACTTTCTCTCGAGAAACTTTCAGACGAATAATAATCCGCCCTTAGATCAATAAATACATATAATTGATGATTGATTAATAGGGAAGTTATGGGAAAACAAAAATTTTCTTGGGATCTATGATTCTAACCCTATAATAATCCGCCCTTAGATCAATAAATATATATAATTGATTATTGATTAATAGGGAAGTTATGAGAGAACAAAAATTTTCTTGGGATCTATGATTCTAGCCCTATAATAATCCGTCCTTAGATCAATAAATATATATAATTGATCATTGATTAATAGAGAAGTTATGGGAAAACAAAAACGTTCTTAGGATCTATGATTCTAGCCCTATAATAATTCGTCCTTAGATCAATAAATATATCTAATTGATCATTGATCAATGGGGAAGTTATGGGAAAACAAAAATGTTCTTAGGATCTATGATTCTAGCCCTTTAATAATCCGCCCTTAGATCAATAAATATATATAATTGATCATTGATCAATGGAGAAGTTATGGGAAATCAAAAATTTTCTTGGGATCTATGATTCTATGGAAGCGATAAGACGGTAGATCTATTTTACTTATGGTTGGTGAATAACGTGTTAATTATTATTCGCTTTGTTCCGAATTAATTAATTAATGACTAATTTCAAGTGGACATGAGAGGTGTTAATTGATTCGTAAAATAAGAAAAGGGAAACAAAGGAGTGTTTTTATCCCGATTCCTGAGGAGAAACTGTAGCGAGGGTATTATCGAAAATTACATCGTTCCACGGTCGATGAGAGACACTTTGTTCCAGTAGCAAAAGTGACGATCGATAAATGCACGCGACGAAAATACGCGACAATACACGCTTACTTTCGATTTCACCGCTTTCGCTTCGATTCGTCACCACGATTGTTCGATTCAATTTCTGCATCATCTAATGTCGACCTTGAAATAACATTCATTCCATGAAAAAAAGAATGAAAATGAATCAAATCTGTGATCGTTGCAACTAGCTTCTTCAAGAGTCTAAGGACACATTGGAATTCTTAAAACTCTATGACGAGTATTAAAATTTATGTAATTATTCTAATTACTCCCTGGAATTATGATGACTTAAAATTCCACGAATTCCTGAAAGGAATTTGCAAAACCCTTATGCTGGAATTCTATAATTGAAGGGTTGGATGCAAGAACCAGACAGCTTCGTTTTCTTTAGAAATAAAAATTTTGTTATATGTTTAAGAAAAAAAAATGATTTAAATAGTTCCTTTCAATTTCTGTAAAATTACTAAAAATGAAGTTGTCTGATTCTTGCATTCAACTCTTCAATCGATGGATAAAGAATTGAAATATTTAATTAATACTGATGGTTGTTCCTTACCAAATATACAAGAAGATTTAAATAAAAGATCACCTGAATAACTGATACGACTAATTTTGTCATAGGTGGAGGCGTAGAGGAGATATAAAGATACATACAGGGTGTCTCAATTAAAAAACATCATCACTAAAATCCATTTTATTAAATATTGAAAATGACGATCATTTACTTATAAATCGTATCTTTATTCAATATTCGTGGCATTTAATTTAGAAAAAAAAATTAAATTCCCGAAATATATAAATACCCTTCCCTATATATTAAAATTCGTAACAGAATAATTAAAAATTATTTACATGAAAGCAGAAGATCAGCAGCCTAAGCTCACTACTCCTATCCCTGAAGAAGTAAACCTGCCCCTTCCCTGACCGAGGTCCGCCATTATTCCAAGGCCCGCCAATATGTCCGTCGTGTTGGAATCAGCCTGTAACAAGGTGAGCGTAGAGAATTCTCTGGCTGGTCGGAGAGGAGGAATGAAAGGCAAGCAAGAACCACAAGGAGGAGGTAGATCCCGCTCACCGGTGCACTTCACCTCCGGCCTCGGCACGGATCGCGAGCGAATCGACCGACGAATCAGTGAACCGAGTGAATTATACCGTGAATTATTATTTTTGTGCTTACAGTGTTCGATACCCTGTTGTGATAGCCGAAAGGTTTTTCATTCTGTTTGATCGATCGTTGCCTGCGACTGGCAAACGATAACAGATCGATTAAGAGGACCTGGTGTTTCGAGCGTGTTTTAAGTGGAACTGTGCAGAAGAATGCGGTAGGATGCGTATCCAGGAAAGATGTTTTCTGTACGCGGTCGTAGGACTTTGCCTGTTAGGCCAAGTCGTCCTCGTCTCCGCTGTCGACGTCGAGCCAAGGATACAAACCACCATCGGTGAGTCCTCACGGATCGGATTGTCTGCTGTTTTTGCGACACGATTTAATGGGTGCCGACGGGGATCTTAGTTTCTTATGGCACCCAGGTGTCCGTAATTCCGAGCTGTCTATCAATTTGATGGTGTCTAGAAATTTTTAAATATCTACTGTCTTCTATACACAATGACTTAGTATAAAGAATACTGAGAAATGAAAAAAACATACTGATATCGACTATCAATGTGTCGTTTGACCCCTGATGTCGCTGCTATTTATTATGATACCTAGTATCAGCGCGTTTGCTGACCCCTGATGAAACCAACTGCAACGATGGTGAAAATTAGAAATATTTTCTCTTCGAAACTTTTATTTTTATTAGTTTCAATTGTCTATCCATGTAAAGTATACTTTGTAATAATGATTCGCAATTTCTTACGTAACGGAACATTAACGCCCCGTAAGTTGACGTGAAACGCTACCGTATAAGAAGAGTATCGCTGAACGAGATAACGGTATTCGTATAAAATCGGTGAAAAATACTTGGTCGCATAGGTGTTCGATGAGTAATAGCGTCCGTCCGAATAATATATCTTCCCCCGTGAAATCGTGACTTCCGCTCGACCGGCCACGCCGGCTTTTCCCATGTCCCAGGAGAGATTTTTCCCAAAAAGGGGAAGAGGATTTCGCCGATGGAGGACGATCGAGTTGAGAAATCGACTCGAGGTTGCCCACTGACACGAATATCGGCTGCTGTCGATGGAAATCGCGCGACACCGTCCTGATTTAATGTCCGGCACTCTCGTCAATCAAATTATATAGAAATTCAATTATAAAATTAATTTCCTCTGAAAATCGGAATTAACTAAATAAATTTTTCAAATTAAATTTGCATTTAATTTAAGATTTTAAATCAATTAATATCCAATAAGTCCAAAAATAAATAAATAAATTTTTCAAATTAAATTTGCACTTAATTTTTAATTTGAAATTAATTATTATCTAATAACTGTAGATATAAACAGAGGGTGAAAAGGAAATTATTATAAAGTTACGATTGCTTCTATCGTTCTATATTAAATAAATTACCTTTGTTATTGTCAACTTTCTCGTTTAATCACCAGTCACCGAGGAAAACAACGTCAGTTCCATAAAAGCGACGAAGAAAAAACACGTGCCAGCAGCGATGGTGGACCGTAAACTCGTGTTTATCGTGTGGAAAGTTCGTGGCAGCGATTACTTTCCACGAGGGAAGATTCCAGAGGGGAAATCGAGACCCTTGCCACGCAATTCTTCAGTGTTTTTGCTGTTCTACCCGTTACCTCTTCCTTGGAATCTCTAACAACCTCGTCAAACCCTGTCGTTCGAAAACACGACATCAAAACGTCCACTTTTCTTCCTCCTCTTTAGTTCAAGACGATCCTACGTCGTTTCTTTTTTCCGTGAATCAACAATTACCTGGAACATGTTTCTCGCACACAAAGCCTTGGAAAATTATATTAACCAGATTTTTCTAAATTAAAATTATGAGAATTATTTCTTGAGTATTCAGGAGAATGGTTAGGAACTCCTCCTCCTATGTTGCAAAATTTGATTTTATTTTTATCCAAAATTTCGATGGACTTATAATCTCATAATTTCATTCCTTTAACTTATTAATTTTCTCAATTTGTTGCAATATTACGACGGAACAAATGGTGGACGAAGGAAACCGGTTTCACAGTTGCCTTTTAATACGTCCTCTCTAATATGTACAAGTTAGAGCCACTCCAGCAGAAACTACACGCAAAAGTGTGCTTCGTTATCGGTACACATACCGAGGGGAAAAAGGGGGCCACTCGTTCGAATCAATCCTGTGCTTTCGCACGTGTACCTCGTTGCTTTGCAACTCCATCGAGAAGGTAAACAGAAAAGGTGAAGTCTGGGAGGTGTTCACGTTAACTGGTGTACGGTTAGCAAACTGGTCGATACGCTCTTACGAACGTCCTTGGGGAAAAACGCAAGGTGGAATTGTTGCTGAGAATAATAGGAAGAAAAATGGTACGGTCCGGCGGACCTCATAGAGAGGCACGGGAACAGTTCAATTTGGAAATGTTATAAAAGTGTCAATGACAGGTAGTAAAGGTTCTCAAAGAATTTAAGTTCGCCAAAAGATTATATCTAAAGAAGTACCCAACTCGGGCCGTGTCATAAACCATGATCCCTTGGACCTGTCATCGCTGGATGAATTTCTATTATTAGTAGAACATTCGCTTCAGAGAAACCCATGAATAGGACACCTGTCTCTTGCACCATGGGGAAACCCTGGTAGTCATTGTACCTGGTACCTGTTATGAATCTTCAAGTTGTGTAGGAGAGGGGAGAAAAAGACGTTTCGTCTCGGGATCGTCTGTCAGTGGGGCTGACAACAGACTCCTATCATACCGCAATTCGGAACTTGCATGCCGGGCGACCGCTTGCGAGAACACTGTCACCGATCTCGCCGCCACCTAGCGGTACCCGACCCGAACTAAAAGCGTCCGGGGAGACGAAACCCTCTCTCCCCGTACACTAAACGCTTACAGTTGTTTTAGCAGAATTTGAAATAGAAAAAATGATGCTTTGCTCTTCACAGAGAAGGATTAATAATGATATCCATCAAGTATGCTTGCCCACAGAAGGGTTAACCGCATAACTTACCACCTCCAATGTAATCCACCCGAGTGTAATTGTGCTATAATTACTCTGATGATACTTGTTTATAATTCTCAGAAAAATGAATCAAATTTCCACAAAAATTCTGTGACGGAAGTTCTCTCTGTTTCTATCAGCACACGAGTGGAATCATTAGAGGGCTCATCTCTTTCTTTACCTGGATCACACAATGGACGAGATTATTAACGAAACAATGAAACGAATTTCACGAGCGAATGTAGGTTGCCTGGGTAGATTTACTAGATAACCATACGAGTTTTCATTCAGGATTCTGTACACGAGGGGATTAAGTAACTCTTGTCTGTAATCGAACGAGGAATACCTATGTTCATTATCGTGTAACATTTCTTTGAAATTCTTCACGGTTTCCATAATAGTTTAGAAATAGGCAAGAATCGTTTTACTTTTTTACAAGTGCATCTCTGTTTCAAATGCAATTGCATATTTCTGAGAAATTATATCGGTATCAACGGTTCGTGAGATATCTTCGATTCGGAAATAAAATAACTTTGTTTCGTATAAAAAAATTCGAAACATCTCACGTATCGTTGATAACAGTTGATTAACTACTTTTTATCCGCACCATGCTGTACAGTGAACGTTACACTTTAACAATTCAGGTGAAAGAAACGGAAAAGGATAGATCCGATCTAAATCACGAAGCAGTAAGCGTGGTTCGCATCTCACCAGGTAAAGCGTGAAAGATTTTTAATTGCATCCCGAGTGAGCAAAGGAATCATCGAGGTCCGTCCTTCGGTTCGCTTGGAAAGGCATACTCGCGCGTGCACCGCTTGCACCATCTTGCTGCAACGTTCTCCCCCGACAGATACGCGTCTCTCGCGGACGAGCCGCTAATTAAATGACGATTACGTTTCTCTGATATGTATAATCCTTCTTTTTTCTTTTTTTTTTTTTCGCGCAACAACCGACGACTTTCTATTTCGTCTTCCACCGATCCCACGCGAGAAACTGTTCTCGTTTGAATCCCGTTCACACGTGCCTCAGGAGAATCCAAATCATTTCATTTTTTATTTAATCCTAAAATACCTCTTTTCTTTTAGGACAAAGACGAGTTATCTCGACCTATTTTAAAAATTTTTATCAATGCTTTCCTACGAATTTTACTATTGTTATTATTGGAAAGAATAAAGGCATTACAAATTAACAAGGATCCCTGAAGGTCTTTTAAAGAACGCTATCTGGCGAGATAACCTGGTTAACGGTACCATAAATACGCGAGTGAACGTATTCTCTTCTTTATATTCTCAACACATAGCTCCCTTTGATGTCTTTGTTACGACTACTTTACAATGCTGTACCCTGATCATCTGCATAACCTGTTTACTCATGCTGGGAAAAACAGTGATTGAAACCAGCTGAATTTATCACCCAAAAGGAATTTAGATGAATCTTGATAACAAAGAATCTTATACTCGAATAATATCCAACTATGACAAATAGAGATTTTAATAAATTGCTTAATCTATCACTTGGAATATTACAAAACAAAGATATGCTTAAACGAAGGATATTTAACGGGAGAAAACAAGAACAATTGTTTAACCACGGTAATTAATTCAGCTGGTGACGTTTACCGCTCATTGTTTCTCGTCCAAAGAGCACGACTTTCACTCAATGACCATTGGACATTGGCACAGCCCGAGGGACGATAATTAAGTTATCGGTATCGCTGATCTATTTGTTGGGACCGTTCAATTTTCACGTAACTTTCCCTTTGATCGACTTTCCTACGCTCTTTCGGATCACGCGAGAACACAATGGGAAGAAATGTTTTCTGATCGCATGGCTTAGCATCAAAAGTCTCAGGTAACTATAGTTTCCTTAGAAATAATATTTCTTAGAATTTTTCGAGGTCTTTGAGAATCGAAGACGGTGATTTTCAAAATTTTCTCCTATATCGTTATTTTTACCGGGGAAAACTGATTTGATCGCGAACCGTACACCGGGTATACGAGATTACTCAAGCCTCGTGCACGCGAGCACACCTATTACATTCTGCTCGCGTAGAACACGACGATCGTCGTAGAAGCGAGGGCAGGGAACTCTTCTAAGCTTCGAGTCTGCAGCTCGTCTTGTCTTTAAATCGATCAGAGTTACTTCGTTGCCTAGAGACGTTCCGCTTTGTTTCGTTTCTCCTAACGCGCCGTTTTCCACGAATAGAAAATAGCTGCGTCTATCATTTACACATCATAAATGATCTAATTTAATATACAAACGTACGAAATTATACAAGTGTCAAAAATTGCCCGTGTCTCTTAAATTTTTTATTAAAAGAAAAATATCTCAGGAATAATCTGGTGCGTGTTAAAAATTCACAGCGATTCACGTAATTCTACATTATTCCTTTAATTACACGTTGGTGATAATGAAAGATCTCGCCGAGCCTATAAAATCACGTTTCTAACGGGACGGTAGGTAGCTGTGACTCGGAGATTTCAACGCCCGCATGCGAACGATCTTTTATATATAGATTACTTAGCGATTTCTATTCGAAAGCATTGGTCGCAATATTGGAAAGTGTAGAAATTTCGTAGAAAGAAGAAGTAAAACCTATTGCGAATCCTTTACTTTACTTTAATTTTCCCCGGTTCGGAAAAAAGGGAGGCATTTTTACGTCCCGTTTCCTCCAGGCGTACTTTGGGTACTTTTACTGTCCCCTTTTCGAATTTCATTCTCTTTTGCATTTTACATTGTTTCATACATTTGCCATACTTTTACAATTTTTTACTAGAGTCTGTGCGTGTGTGTCCCCTTTTAGTCGCCTCTTACGACAGGCAGGGGATACCGTGGCCGTATTCTAATCCCCCCGAGCCACAGGGGTTCCTTTGCGAATCCTAAAAATAGCAAATCTCGACAGATATTACGTTTGTTTATTATTCATTTGTTTTTAATAAATTACATTCTCCCTTTTTGAAATACTCTGAATCGGTTGAAATGTAACGCGATTTGAAGAAACATCAACGCTCGCACAGGAAAGATCCATAGTTCACGAGTGCATTTTTAGAGAATCGAAGTGTTGCACTCTCGAACGATGGGGAATCGATAAACTGGTTGCATCATAAACACTTGCGGTCGATACTATTATTCAACCTCTGGATTTATTCGTCGTGTTAACTGGAAAGGTGGAGTTGCACGGAGCAACAAAGTGAAAGCATAATATCAGATCACCTAGATACGGCTGACAGATTTTATCCATTTAATTAGCTAATATTTTGGAAATAATTCACAGAACTGTATTGAAAGATTATATAAGTTTGATAGATTGTCAAATGAAACGAGACATTTCCTACTGGTCTATAAAGCAACAGATTCGATGGAACAGAGTTGCAGAGCAATGATTCGATTTGCCTTTCGCATTCCAGTATCGCGAGGCTCGTTCTTCCTGCGATGGGAACCGTTAGTTTCATGGGACCAATGCTTATGCCAGTATCTTCGATACGAAAACAGAAGGATAGAAAACAGAGACAATGGACGGCGATCGATCGCAGAGATACTGCTATAGAAAGTCGGGAAAAATTCTACTTATTGCCTGACTTTATAGATCTGTTAATCGAAGATTTTCAAATGAAAAAATCAACTTCACGATTGCTGAAGGTTCTTATGAAACTCTAAGACAATGGTTTGTCTTCAACCTACAGTACCATATTTGAAGGTAGGAAACGAATTCCTCGTCGAGGCGTAGGCTCTTAAAATGCCACCTTTCCAGCCCCTTACTTTTCATCTTTCAACGCGACTGGAAAACTAAAATGCGCTATTTTTTCTCGCATTCCGGCGAGACTGGTTTTCGTGCGTTTCGAAAGAAGTCATTTGCCTCGCTCGATCGAGCAATAATCAAGGTACCGCGTGGATGAAATTTTAAAACGTCCCAATATTAGAAGAGAATATTTATAAAACTATCATGGATCACTGAATATTAGATTCTTCGTATTACAGAAATGAACATCGTAATCGCGAGCGAACCCATTAGAGATCAATCATGGAAGAAAGAAGACGAGATTCCGATCGTTTAGTTACATTGCAAACCGTTATTTACCTCGTCCAAGCAGAATGTGAGGCGAGCAGGCGATATGGAATCAATCGCTTTCAATCAGGAGGTAAAAGCCAGGGAGAACTATCGTGCAGAACGTAAAAGTCTGACGAGTTAACCAGTGAAATGTAACTCACGAAGTAAAAGAGCGCGTGCGTTTGCGAAAGAAGTAGCGCGTGCAGAAATCCACCGGCTTCTTCCTGAACACTTTTGCCATTGCTCGCATCATTGGCAACTAAATTTTCTGTAATAAATTATTCGCGTACCTGTGTGCAATTCTGATCGAAGTAAAGAGGATATAAAAAGATTATACAATTTTCACGGTGCAATTTCAATATCGAGAGAATAAATGATTGATATTATATAGGTGGTCTGGAAAGCGATTCTTAACGAATCATCGGTCGTTGAGAAAGAAAAGAAAAGAGAAAAAAGAAAAACGTAAAGTCACCGTGGCGAAACGTGATGTATGGAACGAAATAATGATCATGCGGCGAGTAGCAAGTAGGATAGAATACCGTATGGTCAAAGGCATGCTCAGTGACCGACTATTTGAACCTACCTCTTTCTCCTCGTCTCTTTGCCTCTGGGCTACTCCGTTCAGTTTCTGTTTCTCTTTTTTTTTTCTCCACCTTTCATTTTGCTCTCGCGCCTTTCGTCTTGAAAGAAACTGTTCGGGGAACAATCAATTATTGTAGAATGTTCTAGAATGATGATCTCAAAATTAAGATATTGAAACGTTGGGATAGTGGATGGTCTCGCCTGAGATAGAGGAATGCTGGGATATTAGGGCGCTGGTATATTGGGACATTGGAATATTTGGGCGCTGAAATTTTGCACGCTGGGATACTGAACGCTGAAATATTTGGGCGCTGGGATATTAGGACGCTAAAGTTTTGGGCGCTGGGATATTAGGACGCTAAAGTTTTGGGCCCTGGGATGCCAGAGCGCTGAAATTTTGGGCGCTGGTATATTAAGACATTGGAATATTTGGGCGCTGAAATTTTGGACATGAGATACTAAGGCGCTGAAATTTTGGACGCTGGGATACTGGGCGCTGGGATATTAGGACGCTAAAGTTTTGGGCCTTGGGATGCCAGAGCGCTGGAATGTTGGACATTGAGATACTAGGGCGCTGGGATATTAGGGCGCTGGTATATTGAGACATTGGAATATTTGGGCGCTGAAATTTTGGACATGAGATACTAAGGCGCTGAAATTTTGGACGCTGGGATACTGGGCGCTGGGATATTAGGACGCTAAAGTTTTGGGCCTTGGGATGCCAGAGCGCTGAAATTTTGGGCGCTGAAATTTTGGACGCTTGGATACTGGGCGCTGGGATATTAGGACGCTAAAGTTTTGGGCCCTAGGATGCCATATCGCTGGAATACTGGCGCTAAAATACATAAAAGTTGAGATATTGGGCACTAGAATACTTAAACCCTGCCATATTAAAACGCTAAAATACTAGAATGCTGAGATATCAAAGCGCTGAGATAGAAATCCACTAAAGTACCATTTCTTTGAAGCACCTTATATATACCTTACTCCCAGTGTGCTCGTTTTCCTGTCAGTCGGTCGACTTCAATCCTGAAGTACCTCTTAAATCTCCTTTTTCTTAAAGTTAATTTCACAAGGAAGCATTCCGCGCTTCCTGAAAAGGACAAAAGGTGATCTGTTCACGGTAAAGGGATTACCTCGAAAGAAAATTTGCTCGTCAACCTCGAAGTGCTAAATTATCTTCCGTTTAGACACAGCCAACTTATATGTATACCCAGTAAAACGTTTCTCTCCCGTTCCTGTGTTTACATCATCGTCTACCTGGAACTACTACGGTTCAAGGTCTTGTTGAGCGAGGATAGAGGCTGTGCTTCAAGGGTTTTGCTAGCTTACGATTGGATATTCCAAGAAAATAGACGAGAACCTTGCGAGATGTATTCTTATCAATATTTTTAACTCTTTTTATCAAACAAGAAAAAGTTCCAAGAAAGATAATAAAAATTGTATAATACCAAGGCTTCTCGTGTTAATTTCATTAAATAAACCCAGAGATAGATTGTCATAAAAATTAATTAGTAAGAAAAGTGTTAGAAAATGATTGATGATTAATTACTTCATCCTAAAAATTGCGCAATCGTGGTAAGCAACAATGAGGTAGGTTCACACAAGAAAATACGCTGTCCACGGTGGGTTCATGGACGACGCGGGACTTCCGGTGACGAGCAAGCCGAGTGAAGATCCTTTTAATGCACGATGAGTAATTCCGCGTTCCACGGCCGGCTTTCTTGGACATAATCACTTTGTGTCCGAAAGCAACCTGTTCCTCGCAAACGGAAACGGATCTTGTCACTGATAACCCTACAAACAGCTGTTTCCGGTCCTGCTAAACCACATACTTTTCCTAAATCCTCCATTCAAAGTATATCTAACATTTATAAAACGCCTAGTAATCTAATATTACTCTTAAAAAATATTAAAGAAAAACATAATTCTAAAGTCCTTGCAATTTAATGAAATGTATTGCTATGAAAAACAACGTGAAACGTGTTTATAATGAGAAATAGAAGCGGCTCAATGATGTAAGCAGCATCGAAATACCGTTCGCTGCAATGAATCGCAATTACCAAACATTACCGTCAAACATATACCGTAACTTTAGAACCATAATTCTGACCAACCGGTACGGAATCGTGTTGTGCACGCGATCGTCTGTAAAATATCGGTATCGTTCCACTGGTCGTCCTTCGATCCTATGGATCCTTTTCACCCTTCTCTCTGAATCACGATATCAAGTATTAATTGCTAAATGCATCGATCACTGTTGACCGCCATTTCTAATTACAAAATAAATAAATTTATGTAAAGTAATAAATATGTTAGGTTAGGGTACACGAATGTACGGTCATGGAATACGTCGAGATAGGGAGCCGGATTTCTTTTCGGGCCACGTCGATATGTATGCACATGGCAAGCGGAAAAGGAGACCGTCACCTACTTACAGGTTAAATCGTTACGTACTGTATCTTGGAACGGACGACCCACCGCATCAGGTGGATCCTGATGACGAACATCGGCCTCGTGTGAACCGGTCGCACCGTTACGCTTCCCCATTCATGCGATGACGATTAAAAGTCATGGTCACCTCGACTTTCGATAGGGGTCGGCCAATCCGGTTACCTTCCCGTTGGGGCACCGGTAAAAAACCTCGGGAAAAATACTCCGCGAAGGGCGATTTTATTTAGAATTCAAGGTTCCTTTTAAATGAAAATAGAAACGCAATAAGAAATTAAGAAAAATGAAATTTATCGTTTTGCTATGCTATGAGAGTCAAATGATTTTTATGGAAATGAAAAGTTACCTTGAATTTACAGGTACCATCGTTGACGAGGTGCCAGGTGTTCAACCTCTCCTCGGTGAAGTGAAGAATGAGACCAACGAACGGAAGTCCGAGTACCCGACTAAGGATCAAGACTCGAAGACTACGGTAGAGCCAAAGAAGAAACCGGTGGACTTTAAGATCAAAACCGATCAGAAGTACCAGAAAATCATCAAGGACGATGATTCGAAGCGTGGAGAAACGAGTGACCCGACAGCGACGACCTCGATGTCGTCAAAAGCAGAAGAAACCACCGTGAGGTCGATGGACGCGGCTGCGGTCACGGTTCCCTTTCTATTTCATGGAGAGCCTATCGTTACTCCGTCGAACGAAACGATTCTAAGGGAACTGTCGATGATGACTAGCTCACCGTCGACGTTGGGTGCTACTAGTAGCGCGAAAGAACCTCGCATGATGGAAGAAACTATACAGTTTAGGGGTAGAGCGTTAAATATCTCGGCGCCGGAGCCAACCAACTCTCTGCACTCGAATATTACTGACCTGAGTGACGTTAGCATGGACGATGATGATAAAGAAGTCGAAGGTAATTAATTTGTTAAAGGATGAATCGTTTGCGACATTTTATGCAACTGTACAGCCACCTGCAACGATGGCCATGCAATTGTACAGTCACCTGCAACGATGCAATTGTACACCCCCTTGCAATGATGCCTCCTTTTGTCAAGGGCTCCCTACTACTTTTCTGACTTTGTCAAGTAATTAACACCTGAAAATTATATTCCCACAGGTGGGGAATATGTAGCATCTCATAACGAAAGCGCCATAAACATCTCCTCGACCATGCTCCCCATGGCGACAGTGTGCATGGAAGGAAACCATACCTATTCCATTGGTGAGAAGATCCTGAGAGGCTGCGATGAGAAATGTATATGTGGCGAGGGTGGTATAGTGATGGATTGCAAGCCACTTTGCTCCTCGCCATACGTCAGAGCCAACAGAGGAATCGAGGACCCATTGTGCCAGGAAAAATTGGTCACCGAAGAACCATGCTGCGCGATTTTAGTCTGTGCTGCTGATTCAGGTGAGCCTTTGCATGATTACATATGAAAATGAATGTTGTGATCATATAATTTGAAACAATTTAGCACCTGAACCAGAGGAGACCTGCGTTTTTGGGAACAAGACAGTGATGAGAGGTCAACGAGTAGAGGATGGCTGTTCCAGAGTGTGCATCTGTGAAGCTGGAGGTAACCTTAAGTGTCAAGCAAGATGTCCGCCAAATGACACGACCTCTGCAACCAATCAGCACGACCGTTGCGTTGTTCTCACTGATCCAAGGTACTAAAATCCTCCTTATTATCAGATTCATCATCAACACCGTGATTAATTTAAAGTTCCCATTGTCTTTATTCTCCAGGGACTCCTGTTGCACGATCACCCTCTGCGACGTCACTCTAGGTGACCATGAGATCAGACCAGAAGTTTCCAGCGCCCTGACCGTGAATCTCACAGACGTCAAGGTCCTAAACTCCACAGCAATCAAATTAAAATTATCCGCAAAGAATCCTCAAGATGTTACCGTCGAAATATCTGACAATAATCACGTGTGGAGGCAGCAGAAACCCGACAAAGGTGAGGGCCATTTTCAAGATACCTTGAATTTAACCATCCAGCTTACTCAGAGACAAACGTTCTCAACACAGAGGGTATCTTGTCGAATCTGGAACCCGCTCATTCGTACTACGTGCGGGTGATCGAGGGAAGTCGAACTGGCCCGGCTCTACAGGTCTTCCTTCCCGCGGAAGTGATCAAGACGAACATCTCTGACAAGATGACGGACAAGAGTTCCTGCAGTCACATGGGGAAAACGTACAAGGTGGGAGCTGAATGGTACGACGAATGCATTTCATTCTGCACCTGCGTAGAGGGAGGGAAAACAGAATGCCTGACCATAGAGTGTCCCACGGATTTTGGATTGGACGTATTGGATCCCCACTGCTTGGACTGGGAGACTGTTCCTCCGAATTTCGTTCCTAAACCTCCGCACTGCTGTCCTCAGGTAAATCTAAAATGAAAACGTAACTGATTCGATACGAGTTGCGCATACTTAACGAGACTTAAATTAACGTGGGTGGGTAATGAAAGATCAAGGACTCTTACATCAATTCATCATCACTGGTACAACGTTTACAGGAAGTGCGGTGTAGAAATAATGGCTCCTGCAATTACGAGGGCAACATGTACGATAACTGGAGCGAGTTACCAACGAACGTGACCGGATGCGAGAAGCGTTGTTACTGCGAGATGGGGAACGTGTCTTGTCAGGCTGCGTGTCCACCGGTCCCAGCTTTGCCACCTGCGACTCTACCTTGTCCCTCGTATCAGGCTGCCTTAATGCATCTACCTAACGACGAGTGTTGTCTCGAGTGGAGTTGCAGTCATTCCGGTCAGCTCCCAGGTAAATCCTCGCTCCATTGACAAAGAACATAGAAAAGAAGTCTCTTTACATATCACTGGCTAACGCGAGGAAGAACAGACGTACAGGGTGTTTGAAATGAAAGAGAAACTGATTTTTGTAGAATGACTGAACGTTTTGATGACTTTTGCATGGACCACCCTGTACGTCTATTATCAGGATTTTTGAAAAGTAGCATTTCTGATATCGTTACGTGGTTTCCCTGGTGGCGGTGACACTACCGTTTACGTCCCTGTAGTATCTATCTTTTGACGGACCGCGAAGAGAATCCGTTAGAGTGGTAATGGGTAGAGGGTTAGGCTTTCTGTCGCGCGGACCTGACTGGAATTTTCCAGTGTAAATGTGAAATGTACATACGTTCAATGGTACCCTGAAATTTAGCACATTTCATTATCGCACCATTATCATCAATTTCGATCATGTCATCCGAGAGGTTCGTCATTAGTCCAACTGTATATCTGTTACTAAAACCGTGCATCCTCCTTGTCCCAGATTCTTTTTATTTGAAGAAACGATCAAAGAACACGAACACGCCAGAAAGAGATCCTTTGTCCATCTGTAGAACTCTTACATCTAACCATAAGACACTGTACACTGATCCGAACAGGAAGAGGAAAAAGCTGTAAATGCATGCTCTGTACGGCTGCGCTTGTACATACATACTTGGACCCTGTATCGCTGTAAATATGCATGAAGAATAACGGACAGCTCGTCGACACGATTCGATTCGCGACAGCTGGTTACGACGACCACGTCTGTGACAATGGACTTTGCTTATTGCAGGAACGAACGCGACGCCCGCGTTCCCCGGCCCCTTAGCCACAGAAACGTTCAATCGAGACCCGGTTGACGATAGAAAAAGACCGACTAACAACTCGGGATCGACAGGGCCCAGCCAGCAACCGGCACGTGGGACTACGAAAGACGTTGTTAACGCGAACACAGACACCACCACCACCCACGGACTCTTCCATTACCCCATGGACCCTGGACACCCCACGGTACCGTACAACGGACCGTACAGTCCCGACTACAAACCCACGCATCCCACCGTGGAGGATGTGTTCCATTTGTCCCCTCACACGGAAAAGCCTCCGATCGTTCCTAAAGAAAAGACCGAGAAGTCGAAGTCAAAAGCGGACGCCAAGAAACCAGTCGAACCTATCGCGAAACCGCACAAAGACGACTACTTCCCTGGTCCTTTGGCACCTGATAAATTCCCCGACAAGACTATCATCCCTGTGAACTCGAACGAGAATCAACCCTACATACCAGGTCCTTTGAATCCCAACAAACTGCCACCTACCCAGAAAGTCAATCACCCAACCGCAGATCATCCGCAGTTCATTCCCCTGAGTCCACATCACGATGGACCACCATCAGGATTCGCGAGCGTTCCTCAAAACGGTTTTAACGTCCAGCTGGACAACTCCGCGACCGGCCCCGCCTACGTCCCTTCGATACTAGGCCCGGACAGCGTCGACCCCAACGTGATCGTCCCCGTGAATCCTAAAAAAAAAGCTCCCCCTGGCGACTCGTTCGACGTGGACAAAGGTAAACACTCGGGATTGAACGTTAGACCGAAGCAAGGCCAACGAAATCCTGATCAGGAGATACTCCCCGAAGAGCTCTATCATCTGATCAATCTTCAACACCCAGGCTTGGTACAACTGGAGCATAATCCGCCCGAAGGACATCCAGGCTTGTACGATATCCATCAACAGATATCCGGTCAGAAACACTCGCCCAACAATCAGATACAGCCAGGGTACTTTGGACCGTCCGCTACCGGCCCGAAGAAGCCTTTGAAGCCTCCTCACGTTTACACGCAAAAGAACGAAAACGGCCAGACGACGTATCACATTCACACGCCAGACATACCGAACACACCACAGCAGATCGAGGAACTGTTAGCACACATCGGCCAACACGATCCTAATCCTGGACCGTTCCAACATTATCCCGGCCAACCGGCCATACCTCATAACGTGCCACCGGCTGGTTCCACCGCCACTCTGCCTCTTCACATTGACGCTCACATACCGCATTCAGGACTCACGCACTTGAACCATCCGTTCGCAGCACAAACGCCCAACCAGTCAGGTTCGTCCCTGTTCGGTAAAAAAAACTTTTTTACCTATTGCCGGAGATCATTAAACAATAGTATCGAATGTCTATCGTTAGAGAATCTTCCAGGATCTCGAGTGTTCAATAGAGATTCCTGGAAGATAAAGACTTCCCTTTGACATTACTGTTTTAGACTATCTCGTAGGGCATGATGAATGTATGATAGTAACATGGAACTGTCTTGGTGAACTTTAGGCATGGAGCATAACGTGCCATCAGGCTTCCCCTTGCCTGCTACCATCTCCGGATTCCCCCCTGCCTCTTCTTCGGACGAGGTCACCGTGCAGATTCTTGAAGCCCTTGACGAGCACACTGTTCGACTCGTCTTCACTGTGCCACAGGTTCTCGTTGGACTTCACGGTCGTGTTGAACTGCGATACACCAATGACAAAACGTACTTTACATCATGATCCAAAGATAATTATAGAATTGATTTTTTGCTCAAGATCAATTGATCAGTGAAAACTGTGAGCAATTGTGCTTTACACGTTAGCCATCATTTAGTTGAGCTGATTTTGGGCAAAGAATAATTCTACATGAAAATAATAAGTAATTAATAACCTCTTCCCTTTGTCACCCAGGAACTTCGACGTGTCCACCTGGAAATCCCAAGTCTTCGCTCCTCCGAATGACCTGATCGCAACCCCACAGCTGGAGTTCGAATTGGGCGACCTGAAACCATCGACAGAATACAAAGTGAAGATCACTGTGAAGCTTAAAGACCTGGCCAACAGTCCTACCAGCAAGATCTATAGCGTAAGGACGCTGGAGAAGAGAGTCGAGGCAACTACCTTACCACCTCAGATACCCGTCGACGCTGAGCTCCAGGCTACCGAGGTCAATTCCACCTGGATCAACGTGATGTGGAGGAAGTTCACCGAATACGAGTTGCAGTTCATCGACGGCGTTCAGCTGAGATACAAGGAACGGGAGAACAAAATGTACGCTGGTACACCATTGATCCACAGAGCTGTTCGCAATTACGTGATCGAAAATCTGAAACCGTCGACCACTTACGAGGTTGGCATCTACTTCGTACCGTTCCCCGGCCAGTTGACGGAGTTGGTCAGTGAAAAAACGGTGAGCTTCTCCATAACAACTATGGAAACCTGTTTATCGAGTTGTCTCATCGTCGAGTCTCTTCCTTTACAGATTCACGTGACCACTTCGATGGAACCAGACCCATACTCGTTCGACGTCAAGGTGGAAATCAAAACTATCAAATCGACGGACGTAGAGGTGACGTGGAGCGGGGTACCCTATCCGGAAGACAAGTACGTGAACATCTACAGGGCAATATATCAGAGCGACAGTGGCAAAGAGGACACGAGTACCTTCAAGATCGCCAAAAGAGATTCTCATCCAAAGACCATCATCAGTGATCTGAAACCAGGCACCAGGTATCGTCTTTGGCTGGAGGTTTACTTGACCAATGGGAGGATCAAGAAGAGCAATGTCCAGGACTTTGTCACCAAGCCTGGTGTCCTTCTACCTGCAACGGTTTCCCAACAAGGTACGAGAATTAATCAAGATAAGTTGTATAAAAAATTAGAATTAAGCTTCTGTGACCTTCGAAGACCTGTTTGTAGCGCATACCTTAATAATAATTCCACTTACAGCAGGAAAACTTGCATCCCTACCCCTCCACGAAAGTGATTATTATGGTCCCTTGGTGGTAGTGGCTATCGTTGCATCTCTAGCCATACTGTCGACCTTAATTCTCTTGATGATGCTGATGAAGAGGCGAACTAGCAGTAAGGCTGACATTTCCTCCCGTAAAACCACGTCGGCGTACGACAATCCTTCCTACAAGGTAGAATTACAACAAGAGACTATGGGTAATTCATTCTCATTGTTTTAATGCGATTAACCGATTAATGTCATACGTGTCAATTTTAAATATTCATTTGTATAATGTTCTAAGAATTTTAATACCTTTTCAGACCTGTGAGGATCCTGTGAACGGTGTATCCAATGGGAGGAACAAGAACTCTGATCACGAAATGGCCACAATCAACGTCAAAGAGACCGCCTGAGGTTCCATAATTTATTGAATTCTATTTATTTGTACGTTCGTTCAGTCCGTTCGTGTTTCTCGATCGATCATCCAGAGTACTTGGTACCCGAATGACGAATGCCAGAAAGTGCCTGCGACTATAAAAAGAAACGATATGAAATAGGAATTTTCAATCACGCAATTCGTTGAACTTACGATTTTGATCAATGGTAATGTAATTAAAACTTGTACATAGCGTTATCGTGCGACGTTAAAGATCGCGTTTAGGTGATAAGGTAACCGATTAAGAGGAGCGCAGTTCACGGAATAAATATCATTCTATTTAGATAATGGCGAAAGAAAAGACGTAATGTTTCCATATACGTGCATTACCGACTCATACACATTTATTTTTATGTATTTAATGTGTATTTAAGTCGTAAACAAGCAATCTCACTGGATCACAATGATCCAGCCTACATTTTGTACAGTCTGCATTTACAGTGTTAGAAATTTATACGATAAATAATAAGGTATATTACATTATTTGAATGCGAATCGAATAAAACTGTTTATAAACTGTGAAAGGAAGTTTATTCTTAACGCACCTAGCACATATAATGTCAGAAACTTATTCTAAGCTCGCTTTTTATGAGAAAACAACTTCAAACTTAGATTAATCATCTAGAAGATATAAAAGATACAATTGTTCTCATAACGGAGCGATAAAACGCAACATTTTCCTGATAACGACGAGTATTATTAAAGTATTGCTAGTCAAGATTGGGTTGAAGCATGCAAAAATATCGAGGTTTAAAAATATTTCTTCAATTCGGATTCCATTTGCAGGGGATCGGTCGTCGGCGCGAATCTAGATACAACTTTTCCTTCTTTGTTTATGATAAATTTGGTGAAGTTCCATTTGATGTTGTCTGTCATAAATCCACTGGCCTGTGTCTTCAGCCATTTCCATAAGGGATGAGCATTATCTCCATTAACATCAATCTTCTCAAAAACATCAAAAGTAACATTGTATTTCTGAATAAAATCTAAGATCTGCTCTGAGCTTCCTGGTTCTTGGCTACCAAACTGATTAGATGGGAAGGCAAGGATCTTCAAGCCTTCCTTCTCGCTGTACTTTTCATACAACTGTACCAGCTCTTTGTAATTTGTGTCTGTTAAGCCACATTGGCTGGCTACATTAACAATTATACAAACATGACCACGATATTTGTCTAAGGACACATCATTGCCATGAATATCTCGAGCATGGAAATCATAAACTGTAGAGGCTTTGCTCCAGTCTTTGTCCTGATCCAAGGGTGCTGAAGTTGTAGCTGGACACTGTTCCTGATTGTTATCTTCACACTTTTCTGCCATAGCACTACAGAAAAGTAGTACCGCCAAAAGTCCTAATTCTACAAAAAAAAATAATTATATTTAATAGAGAACATTTAAACATCTAAGTAGATATGACCGCTATTTAAAAAAAATAGCCGGAAAACGACGATCTTGAACTTATTTACATCTTAATTATCGATAAACAAGTCAAATGTCAGACGTTGTGAAGTTAAGAATAAGAATGAAATTTTTAAACAAATTTAAAGGAACTACTTACTCAACATTCTGCTTGGAAAATATTACCACACTGCTAGAGTTTATCAGAATCAAAGTTTAGCGAATTTCCTGTAAAATCAATTAATCACGATCATACATTATTGTCAATGAATGTTAATTACAATATTTGGAAATAAACAGGAATTAAGTGTATACATACTTGATACCCCTTAATAAACGCGTCCTATCACTGTGACTTGCCGAATGCAAATGCGTCGATCTTTCCTTTGTCCGCAGTTTTTAAGATTCGCGAAACACACTGACCTCTGTCCAGTGCCCTTGAAACTGCATCATCATGGGTTCTTGAATACTCGCAAAATAAAGCAACGAAATTTTACCTTGAATCCTAACATGTTTTTGCTATAGTGTTTATTACAATAAAAGAAACATACCTTCACAATCTATATATGTAGTTCTATCCGGTTATTTATTTATTTAAACTTAAGTAGTTGCGATCGTACTAGTACGATCTGAAATACCGACGTTTAAAAAAGTATAATTTATTATAAACACATAATTCTTATAATAACAAGAAAGGATATTACGGTATTGTAAAGTAATTAATTTAATAAACTAGAAATACTTTACTAGCAACATTTGTATCCATTTTTTAATTTTATATCGATGCGCGCTTTGAGAACAATCGCCATCTGACGGTGATGAAATTGGCGGCAGTGAAACAAACGTGTGTGTATATAACAACATAACCTCGAAAACACAAAAAAATTATAACCTACAAAATTGTTATGGATTACATTTAGAATGGAATAAAACTTTGTAACATGTACAATAAATAATATAAGAAAACCAAATAACAGTATTGTGTAAAAGAACGTTATTTAAAAGGGACTACTGTGTAAATTTTATTGTATTTCTGTATTAACATTGAACCGCATTAAAGTATCATACCCAAATAATTTGTTTAAACTGTTATTTATATTAGACAAAAATGGTAAGTACATAAAAAATTTGATTACATATGGTATAAGAGTAATATTTGTTCATAGTATCTAATTATGGTTTTTTTATTCAGGCGCGAAATGCAGAAAAGGCTATGTAAGTGTTCAAAAACATGTTTCTTAAACATTTTCTTTATGATAGATGTGTTTAAATCAATATCAACCTTGTAACAGGACCACGCTCGCTCGATGGAGAGCAGCACAAAGCAACGAAGGAGCTAGAAAAGAACAAGAAAGAAGACCATACTTAGCTTCTGAATGCAGAGACTTACGGAAGGCAGAGAAGTGGAGGATGCAGATAATCAGAGAAATCGCTAAGAAAGTTGCACAGATACAAAATGCCGGTCTTGGAGAGTTTCGTATCCGAGACTTGAACGACGAAATTAATAAATTATTAAGAGAAAAACGGCATTGGGAGGCTCAAATAAAGGAATTGGGTGGTCCTGATTACTCTAGAGTTGGACCGCGTATGTTAGACCATGAAGGTCGTGAGGTAAAAATATGCATCTGCTTGTTGTTGCATTAGAGTTCTTTCTATCAGAAATATGAAGCTAATCGTTGTAACAAATGTTCAGGTACCTGGAAATCGTGGTTACAAGTATTTTGGAGCAGCAAAGGAGTTACCAGGAGTCAGAGAATTGTTCGAACAAGAACCACCGCCTCCTCCACGTAAAACACGTGCGGAGTTAATGAAGGACATCGACGCTGATTACTATGGTTACAGAGACGACGACGATGGAATTTTACTACCTTTAGAACAGAAAGCCGAACAAGAAGCAAGACAAAAAGCAGTAGATGAATGGCTAGCGGAGAACGAAAAGAAATCAGAGGAGGAAGACGAAGAAATCGAAACAACCGCTCAGAAAGCGATACCCTCTCAGCAAGATATTCAGGAAGCGTTACTCGTAAGAAAAAAGCAAGAACTATTAGAGAAATATGTACTTTGACAGATTTTATTCCTTTTTCATTTTTCTTTTGTATGCCTTCGATAACAACTATTTGTAAGTTTATTTGTTTAATTGTATTAGAGTACACTTTTATAAAACGCGACAGATATAATAATTATTATTATTAATTTATAAGTAATAACATTGATTAATGTAATTATTTTGTGCAGTAGACGTTCAAACTTCAATTAATACTTATTCGAGAAAGAGTGCTGTAGATAAAATATAGATAAAAATCCAACGGTAGTCTGTTTATAATCCTCGCGATCCTTACTCTTCTTTTTATTTTTTCTTCTCTTTTCTCATTTTTCTTTTCGATAATAAGCACCGAACACTCGAGAAAGCGACACAATAGAATAGAACATCAGAGAATAAGACAGTATGAATTTGTGAGAATATCTTCGCTGTATACATTCGTACTTGCCAAATGTTATATATTAAATTGCTGCATATCAAATCAATCATTTGATCTGCAACAATCCAACAGATTAAACGAAAAAGAAAATTAATCATTCCATGCGTTCCTTCCACCATGATCCGATACCTGAAGCGTTTTCTCGACCCAACGATTCTTCGTTCACGTTCCGCAAGAAAAAGCAAGTCGTATGCTTTAATATATCTTCGTACAATTACAACTATATCGTAACAAATTGAAGACAGTTAAAGGCATAGAAATTACCCTGAAAAAAGCCCTACTCGTTAATTAATTATCGTAAATATTTCGAAAAAACTTCCTGATCCTGTTGGTAATCGCGTCCGATCGATCAATCCACGACACGAGAACACGAACGTATCTTTTTACTTAGAAAAAAAAAACGTTTTCTCGAATCCTCGACATCGTGCTGTTTATAAACAGACCGTACAATATATAATTATGTTACCAGGACTCAGAAGTCGAAAGTATCCTAATTAAAACGCTAGCTAAAATGGCGCTACGGAGTTGAATTTCACAAAAAGTAGAATTACTCGATCGCATACAGACTTGTTTTCTGGCGAAGCAACTCTTGGACTAACGCAACGACTCTACAATTTATCGAGTATTTATCATCGGCGACGCGTTCTATTAATCGAAAAAGCCGTTCCTCGTTGAAATTGCGTTAATTAGAGAGAGAGGTTATTATTATAAAAAGAATGTCTGCGGTTGAACGGGAGGATGATTTCACGCGTACACGTACTGAAAAATCAGATAACTTCTGAGCCCTTGCAATCGCTTTCACACAATACGTGTCTACAGTGATAATAGTTCGAGCATGGATTAATCGTCGTTTGAAATTACCTAAGACGCTAAAGCTTGAAAAAGTCAAGCGTTTACGATTCACAGCTTCTGTTTGTCCGTTGATCAGTCGTCCAATTCCCTTCTAGTTTATAAACGCTTTCTGGTTGATTACGTCTCTCTATCCCTACCACGCGATCGAGTGTATGCATCCTAAATTTTATTATATTAATTTAATATCAACGCCTACGATCACATCTGCGTTTACGGGGTGCGTATTTAGTTTTCCTTGCGAGTTTATTGTGCGTCATTTGAATTGTGAATCTATCCTCGTATACGTTCCTCGTGTTCGTCGTTACAACCCCTCCCAAGATCAGCTTACATCGTGCCAGGCACGAAACATTCAATACATGAGATGATAGCTGTTTAAGCATTGTTTGCGATTATGGTAACGATGATCTAAGATAATCTTATAATCTTCGATGCAATGCTTTATCGAACCCTCTAGTTGATACAATATTGTCACTCTAAGTAAGGTTTCTAAGTTCCCGCCATTTTGTGACGCAGCATTGTTTCTGTAGGTGACAAAGTTATCTCCATCAGGTCCCTATCAAATTCTAGATATTTTGTGAAGATGATAATACAGCATTCATTCTCCAAGTAGCATGTAACCATCTTCTCTAAACTCCAATATACTATCACGACGGTAGTACATAAATATTGCCTCCCTACGTGGCAAGTGGTCATTCCCTCTAGGTCCCCAGTATTCGGTACAGGCAGTAATAATTGCCACCATAGCTGACAAGTGATCGTCCCCATCACTTCCACGATACTCTATAATATTTAAATAGCAAAACAGCATTGCCTCTCCAAGTGGCAAATCTTGAAACTGATACCTCGATATTCGTACCCAAGCCCTTGCCACTTAGAGAGGCAATTACGGTGTCATCGATGAAAGTCGTCTTACGAAAATAACATGGTTGCGTGCAAAAGAAATACAATAAGCGAAGATTTACAGAAGAATTTCACAGCCTCGCGTTCCATTCGAAACATTCTCACTGATCGGCATCGTGTTTGAGAATCATCCGCGGCAAAGGGGTTTAACCACTGATGGTTTCGCGTCAATCCATTCTCGAACCATGTGATCGGAACAACAAGATTCGTCGTATACGGCTCATACATACATGCATGCATACGTAGGAGCGACCGTTGCGAATTAAATATCCGTTGAAAATTTTCGCGGAGTCGAGAGGGTATGGATAAACACGTTCGCTTATAGTTAGACTCGTCCAAAGGTGAACGACTTAGAGGATTCATAACGGGTCCCTCTCTCGACTCGGCTTCGGTTATCCCACGACGATTCTCCGTCGACGGACACGCGGCCTAGAAAGGGTGAAAGGCACAAAGTAAAAAATAAACGATTAAGGTTGGCTCAGGCACATATCGAGTCGGAGTTGGTTTCGCGGTCCGCCTGCTAATGTGCGAATTTGACTTATGGGACCGACGAAATGTGCATGTGTGTATGTATGTGTGTTCTATATGTACTGTGTGTATTCACGTGTATAGAATAGATGTGTCTTATGCTTATGTGTGCAATGTGTATTTTCATTTTTTTCTCTTTGTTTCTTGTTGCATATGTTGTTTAATATACATACGTAATATGTATGCTGAAAACACCCTCAACTCCGTCCGGCGTATCAAAAAGGAATGTACTTGGTACATCGATAAGAGTTTTGAACTCAGAGTTTTAGCACAGGTGCTTTTAAAAAGTTATGACAGCATCGTTTGATTCTCGCTGCTTCGAGAGACCGACATTATTGACTTCTGTATATTCGGTATCGGGCAGTACAGAATGGCAATCCAATAGAAGCTTATCGCTTCCTCATCAAAATGTATTCTCTCATCCGTTCGCAAGCTTGCGTATTCAAGGCTCAAAAATTCCACCAGCCTGTTATATTTTCTCTATCGATCGAACCGTATCATACTCGTAAATCTTTTAAACGCGTAGAAAATGTTTCTCCGTAACAGGAACTCGTTCATGATCGGTTGCCTCAAGGTCGTAGTAACGTGTGCCAACGTTGAACCTGCGTCGGTTGTCTCGCAGCACGCATGTCGTTCCAATGTTGAAGTTCCTCCGAGCCGGAACTGTTCAATCCCAAACTGAGCCAACCGATCATCTCTCTTCCCTTTCGCCCCATTCCTCCTCTTCGTCGGTTATACACCGACAGGAACAACGTTACGTCTCCAAGTTGAAACAGAGCAACCTGTGACGGAAAAGAAACATTTAACACTTTAAATAAAACAAGATGATAAACTTAGATACCTGGAATATGAACGTTTCCTTGTAAAGAGGATTGGGCTGAGCACGTTTCAAACCAGTCTTCGAACGTCCCATCTCGTGATCGTTACTGTCCACGAGGGCGAGTTTAACGTAAGTGTCAGGCGGTTTCGTGTCGTTCCCTCCACCGCCCCTGAAGTGTGATCCTTTGATTATTTCTACCGACAAACGTCCGGTTGTGCCATTGTACGCCAAGCCTATTAGAATCTCCGCCACGCTTCCACCCTTCATGCTGCTCCCATAAGGAGGTACCGTAGGTGACGCGTACGACTGAACGGACTGCTGTGACCCCGTCGAATCGCTACGGGTTAGACTGCTAGTTGTTCCCCAATCTTGTACCTTAAATCGTACATTCAATCGTTAGAAATGCGTTTTTAATTAAAATTACTCTCCCAATATAGATTAATATCATTATACAGGGTGTTCGACAACAGGTAGGCAATATTTTAAGGGGTGATTCTAGGGATCAAAATAAGACGAAAATCAAGAATAACGAAATAGCGTATACGGCTTTGTTTTCCAGTTATTAACGTTTAAAAATTCGAGTAAAAAGCGCCAGAAACCTGCAATCCGCTCAGCACCGACGACCAAACGTCACGTCGGCAGGGGTCGGTACAGTCATAACCAAGAATCGAAACCTGTTGGCGAAATTCCCCAAGTCTACGCAGAACGACGAAGTTGGCAACGCTATCCAGTACAAGTTACTTAGTTTTCCGCCCACGCGACCCAAATTGTTTCAGCCCGCGCTTTACTTTATATCTTGTATTTTTCACCAACGAAATACTTTCGTTTGCGAGTTCAAAATCAAATACTGCAGTACCGAGAAACAGAATAGCACGAGGTAAGTTTCTACCATTCAACGATTCTTGGTTATGACTGTACCGACCCCTGCCGACGTGACGTTCGGTCGTCGGTGCTGAGCGGATTGCAGCTCTCTGGCGCTTTTTACTCGAATTTTTAAACGTTAATAACTGGAAAACAAAGCCGTAAACGCTATTTCGTTATTCTTGATTTTCGTCTTATTTTGATCCCTAGAATCACCCCTTAAAATATTGCCCACCCAAGCTCCAATGTTCAAGGGCTAAAGAGTAATTCCTTAATGAAGGAAGGTTTACCGAAGAGGAAGGCGGTGGCAGTAACGTCAACCAAAGCGTCGTCTCGAGCTGAAGATTGATTTGATCGAAGGAGACTCTGGCTTCGCCGAGCAGTCTCTCTCGACGCATTCTTCCGCCCCATAGATACACTCTCAAGCGTACCCCCATAGCGTTCACGTCTTCCGGGTTGACGCGTGGCAATAGGAAACTCTCCATGTACTGTGGACAGGTACCCTGACGTACCCGTGTTTTGCGACGTTGCTTCTTCGATGGCAACAGGACCAGTCGGACCTGGCTACCGCCTATACCTTCCGGGTAATTCCGTCCTTGCAGTACGTGCACCTGGTAACGGACCAAAGTGTCGCTTTAATGAATCCGCATGATTACAAATGAATTTCACGCGAGGATATCGTACAGTCATCTCGCGCATAGGTGCGTCGTATAAGAAAGCGACCTCCAGGCTGCCCACTTCCTCCGCGACGGTACCCATCGTTGCGATGACCTCGTTGGCCGTGGGTCCATTTTGTTCCACCTCAACCTCTTGTTCTCTGGCGTCCAGCAGAATATTCGAGGCTCCGACTTCTACCACGCACTGTGTCCGTAAAATCAAAGTAAATCGGTCAGGTTGTTGTGCTATAAAGAGTTGCGCGATAAGATACACGAGGATATCCGGGAGGCAGTTAATTATGCATATACCGGTCATGCGAATCGAGAACACGATATTCGGTCGCGTAACATGGAAACCATGTTTCGCTATTCGTTTTTTCATTCACCTGTTGTTGGTCACCGGGCGAGTGTTCCTCTGTGCAGCTGCTGGAGGTGGTGCCGGCATCTGAAAAACGGACGACACGTTAGAAAATGAATGATTATTTAATAAAAACGATTGCAACTAACCGAGGATAGTGGGTCCATCCTCTGCTTGGATGGTCAGAGTGTCCGGCGGTGGATGCGAATGCGAGTTCAACCGACGAAGGGCGTCCTCTTCCGAATCGGAACTCGTCTCTGGATCCGAGTAAGAGAATGTCTTTCCTGTCGAGATTTCATTTCGATACGAGATTAGAATTTCTTAAAAGAATCGACTGAAACGATGACACAAAGCATCGAACGATTCTCTGGTCACACAACGTCGACTTACTTTGATCAAACGATACGACCTTACGATCCCGCGACTTTCGGATGAATTTTAACAACGATCCTCCGCAGAACCAAAACTCGCACGGACAAACTGTGCTCCACATTTTTTACATACGTTCACACCAAATCGCGTCGTCGAGAACAATGAAGCGCGAGAGTGCACGAGCGTATCCTCCGATAAACTTATCATCGAATCTTTCAAGAATTCATTAAACAAATCAAGGTAATTAAAAGTAAGAACACGGTTCGCAACGATCACTGTTCATAACAATTTTCACAACAACATCGTGTAACCGAATGGTTGTTCACTTTTCGTCACAAAAGTTCCATTTGATAGGCACAGAAATTGCGTTACGATTATTTGCAGTTAGTATTTTACAAGTGACCTTAACTGTACTGTGTATTCCCTTAACGAGTAGTACCACGCGAGCGAGAAAAAAATACCTGAGTCGAAGCCGGCTGGTGATCCGAAAGATGGATTAATCGGTGAATGCTGTCAGGCTAAGTAACCTACCTATGTTTTTCGGTATCTGAGAGGTGGAGCTATTGTTGGACTCGCAGAGGGGCACGCAAACGCCGCCGAAAAGGGTGCTGGTGGACGGCGGTGTAAAACACCATTTGCGGGACAGGTAGAGAAACAATGCCAACAGAAGGACCACGAAGCCAGCTACGGCACCCAGAAATGCTGTCGCTTCCACAGGTACTGTAAATCGATCGTTAGAACAGGCACGGTCAGAATCGCCTAGCCCCTATATTTTATTCAACGAATACGTACATATATACATGATCGATCGAGGATGAATGAAAATGAAAAGAAACGAAAAATAAAATGACATGTTACACGACAATGTAGCGAGAAAAATGATCGATGATACAAGGAGCATGATCGCAAGAAAGGGTTCTCCTTTGTCCAGGCAGAAGTGATTTATTCATTGGCCGTGGTAAAGGTGTTCACCCGTGCACCGATCGGAACATCCTTCCGTCCAGTCGTGACCGACACGTATTTCTATCGAACGCGTTCAAACAACGCCGACACGTTGCGTCGTAATGACCTGGAATAATCAACCATCGCTCCAGTTGTCACGCGAACACGCTGTGACCGATATTGCGCAGCTTAATGATTCGCGTGTGTGCCGAGGAATCCCCCTACGGAGGGACGCGTCGTAACGAAACCACCGAGCACGATTTTCTAATTGTATTTCGCAACAACTGACAACAACTTTACGCGTTTGCCTGAATGAACGGCGCTAGGCCGTGTCTACGTTCCGGCATCACCGATCATAATACGCAACCGTTGTCTTCCGAATGAATGAATGAAACGACGAAGACGAGAGAGAACGTTACACTTCGTTCGAGGCGGTACATTTCGAAATGAAGGTTGATTTGCGCATTGCGGACCACGGCACGCGTCCCGCGTCGAACGACGATTCACCGAATCCTGAATTATTCAGACGGGAATACACACGAGCGGGCGGGTTGCATACCGTAGGGGCATAGAATCGTAACTAAGGGGCAATCGTTATTCGGCCGAGTTTGGGGATCGGTTTCGCTCGAAGGTTCCAGAGATTGGATCCGAAGTGAATGAAATTGACTAGAGATTAAACTATCGACGGTATAGATAGACGAAAGAACCTTGTTTAAGTTGTAGATTTTTCATGATGCAGCCCTTGTCGTTTCTACGATCATTAACGTCACCTCCTTTGCTTGGTAACGAAGAACGACGACAGGTTACCTCCAAGCGGTTGAACTCATTGAGAGAATCGCGGAGGATAGTGGACTTACCCGCCAGAAAATGGTCTGATCCAGCCAGAATCATGCTCGTCCTTGTGTCACATTAAAGCCTTCTTACGTGCTTCTGTCGACCGGACGCGGCTGATCCTCCGCAAATAACGAATTCATTATCTGGTCGGCGGTGAATCGTCCGGATACTCGTGGCTGTTCGCGATCTCACCGTGAAGCGTGGTTACGAGCCAGTCGAATAATAATACGTGGGCGGGGGTGTACACACAGCACTCTGTTGCTCGTTGAGACGTGCGCCTGCAACACCTCAACCCGACTACACGCCTGCGCCCCTTGGCCAGGCAACCGTATTTCCTTCGGCAGAGGTTCTCATTCATAACGTCACCTAAAACTCGCATATAACTTTCTATTGAAATCTCGATTACATTAGCAGAATTAGTGATAGAGTATGTCAGCGTTAGAAAGAAGAATTTGTTTTCTATATTTATGTAAATTATATGATTACATTGGCAGAGTAAGTTGTTCATTCCAATCATTCCAATATGACTTTACTACTAGCGCTAGTATGCTCTATCAATATAATCTAATTACAATGATAGAAAATTTTATGTTTATTATACTATGCTACAACAGTCTTCTTCGTTATATTATTTTATCGATAAAAATTGAAATAAATAAATAATACTTTCTGTAAAGAAATGAATTATTATTTTGTGATTTACTTTTTAAACAAACACTGATCCGACATAATTCTAATACTAAAATATTTAAGGATGGAATAATATTGATTGATCGATGGGAATAAATGATTTTTAATGAATATTAAATAATCCGAATAATATAAGGATAAATAATTAATATGCGTGTTAAAGGAAACATTTTCTAAAATTATTGTATGTAACAAATAAATTCAAGCGTAAATATCGAAAAACGATGATGGTTTTTATTCTCGATAATCAATATTTTATAAATGCATTTAAAATTTTTTATTTGAAATGGATGTCACTGACACAGTCAAGTTCCTTATGGTTTTATTTATCATACAGTTAAAGGGATTGAAAAAATAACTTTAATTTGTTCCATTCAGTCGGAATAAAATGAATAGCTCAATATTTATTAAAATTTTTTAATGAAATTCAATTTACTGTATCTTTATACCTTGGATGTCGTTCAAATTGATTATACATAGTTAAATAAGGGCTTTCAATATGGAAACGTAAAAATTAAAAATAAAAATTATACGGTCAATTTTGATCAGTTATTGCACAATGTAAAGACGATATTTTTAATTTCGTTCTATTGCATGCGAGAATTGGGCAATTTTAAGTTGACTATTTAAGCGGGTAAGCTTCGCGTGCTGTTATTAGTTAAACTAACCTCGAAAATGTTTTCTTTTCAATATTTTTATTAAGTAATTTCAGTTATTGATAAATCAAATTCAATGTATTATAAATAAAATATAATTAGTAGTATACTTATTTGTTTAATTTCGTGCTTTTGTCAGCTACTTTAATCATAATAATTTAGTGTATTTATATAAAAAAATATTACAACTAAATTTTAGAAAAGGTATAATTATTTCAGTGAAATTCTTGCTTTTGTAGGTACCATGTACATATTCTGCATAAATAATAATATAACATAGCCAAATATATCTGACTCAATTTTTAGAGTCATAATAATGTTATCTATTATTACTCTTTTTTCATTATATTACCCAAAAACAGGAATAAACAATGAGCTACTTTACTGTATTGCGCTTTAGACATTGCGCAATTTTAAATAAGTCTCTCATAGAAAAATGTTTAATGCAATATTTAATGTATCATGCAAGAGTATATTCTACTGAAATTGATAACCATCATAAAAATTATATTGCTAAAAAGGATAATATCAACAGAAGAAAAGTATTTAAATCGCGAATACTTGATGACATTAAACAGACTAAACGAAAAGTAGAAGAAATTATTGAGAAAGAAAATATTTGGACCATACCAAATTTCCTCTGCATGGGTCGAATTCTGACATCACCTTATTTAAGTTATTTAATTCTGTCACAAGAGTACCAGGTAAAGTGTTATCTAAATTTGTAGTTATTATACATATATAACTTATCAACATTATTTGTTTATATTCCAGGTAGCACTGTGGTTGTTAATAATTTCAGCGTTTAGTGATTTAGCAGATGGATGGATTGCACGTACATGGACATCCCAAGCTTCTAAGCTTGGTAGCTTTTTAGATCCAGTCGCGGATAAATTACTTGTAGGTACACTATTTTTGTCATTAGCATGGGTAGGATTGGTTCCTATTCCCTTGACATGTCTCGTCATCGCAAGAGACACTGCCCTAGTGACAGCTGCATCGTACATAAGATACCAATCTTTACCACCACCAGTATGTATATACACATATATTAATTACATAGCTATTACCAACAGGTCGATTCTTAAATACATTTTTGCATAATATATATTTTAGAAAACACTGGCCAGGTATTTTGATCCTACATATGCCACAGTACAATTAGCTCCAACATATATAAGTAAAATTAATACTGCAATTCAGTTGTCTTTTGTTGCTGGAACATTGGCTGCTCCTATATTTCATTTTATAAACCATCCAATTTTGGAAATTTTATGTTATCTAACTGCAGTGACAACACTAGCAGGTGGTATAAGTTATTTGGTATCAAACAAAACATATAAAATGTTAAGAAAGAAAACTTCAACAAAATCACCCCCTTAGGTATAACATATGTATATTATAAACACTGAATACTAAGAACAGAACATTGCCATTATTTGTAAATTTATTACTGTACAATATGATATAATTTAAATATACATACAGGAATAAAATTAGTAATAATGTATGTTTTCTAGTTATTTAATTAAATAAAATTATTCAGTAGGTTTACTCATGTCATTCATTTCATAAGCACAACTTTCAAAATTAAGCGGATCCCAATATACTCCTATGTGATCAATTTCTAATCTAAAAGGTCCTGGTTTTTTGTCTGCCAGTGTAATTCCTATATTTGTAATAAATGAATCTGGCATTTCATATTGCCGATCCTGGATTGTTCCTTTTTCTTGAAACACAAATTTGGAAAAAGGGAGTTTAAAATCTTGCCAATAAGGGCCACCTCTTGTATACATCAGGTAACTATAGGTATGAAACCATGTTATATCAAAATATCCCTTTTGTAATAAGTTTACCATATAACATCTACCATCTCCTCTGACTCGTAAAGTAAGATGACTATAAAGATGCCAGTTATAATAATCTTTTCGTTTAAAAGACTTTCGTTTTGGAATTGTAGTTATATTACAAAAACCAGCCCTCTTAGTTTTACCATCTTTAGGTACAGTGGTATTTAATGTACCATGGAATACTCCAGTGCCAAAAGGTGATAATTCTAATCTAAAAAGATAATTCATATACATTTAAATGATTTGTGCAAAACACAATTAATACATAAAATTTTATATAATTACTTGGCAGTTGAAAAACCCTCTTTATAATCACTGTCACATGTCACAACCCATTTCTTCAATGATTCCTCAGTTCCATCAAATTTAAGTACAATTTCTTCTTCGTTTGGTATAACTAGAGTAGGATGTAGGTGTAATTTGTCGCGTACCTCTTTCCCAAATAATTTACATTCCTTTTTAAATTCATGATATCCCAGTTTCAATTTTTCAAGAAAACTTAAGTTTTGTGTTACTGGCGGTTCATCGTATATTAATGGATAACCTCCTCGCGGTTTTTCATAATAATCGAATAAACAACTGTTTGTATGAAATTTTCTTTTGTTAATTACAAAAGTTCTAAAGAATGGATTTAATTGACGGAACATAACTATTTTGATAAGTTCTACTATACATTTAAATAAAGATATTAAAAACTAAAACGTTATAGACGACACTGCATACAGAACTGGCGCATTTTACGTTTATGAATAAAATTCAATACAAAATTAGTACAGAATTGTTTATACATATAAGAATTATTGTAATAAATTCGTAGTTGTTCGTTAAAACGAAAACGTTTTCAACGTATTAATGATACATTATATAATTTTATTAATTCTAATAGATCAACTATAAATTTCGTTCGAATGATCCATTAATTTCTCTGTAATTATATTTAAAAAAAAATGTATGTTATAGATCATTAAAAATAATTAATTTTAATAACATAACTGTACTGAAACATGAAAAAAGGTGCTATATGATGAAAAGTTCGTCTGATAAGACCGGATAACAGGACGGAACTTTTTATTCATTAACAGTGGTCAGCGTGCATATACACGTTAAAATCAAATTTAAGGCGACAATGGTGCTGTTTAAGCGTACTAAATTGCTAAACAACAGAAATTTAATTTTTCTACGACCAAAAAATCACAATAAAAATGGAAACACATTACATATTAAATTCCTATCAAGCACCTCTACGGAGAGTGTAACAATAAAGTTATCAAATGGGTAAGAACTTCACGTGCTTTTTAACCTAAACGATAATAATATTTGCCGATTACGTTTTAATAGTTAATTTTAAATATATGAAAGATACAATAATACATCAGAGAAAATATGTAGCTATTTAAATAAAATATATTTTTGCCTTACTTTCTCAATATTTAACATTATTTATATTTGAAATATTATTCTAGAAAACAAATGACATTATCAACGGGAAAATATGCACGTTTTACAAGTGGAAGCGTTACTGCTAAGATGGGTGAAACATCAGTTATGACTACTGTTGTAAGAAATAATGTACCATGCAATGACTCTATAGTTCCATTAACTGTAAATTACCGACAAAAAGCTGCTGCAATAGGCCGTATACCAACAAACTTTCTTCGCAGAGAACTAGGCCAGTCTGAACAAGAAATTCTTACAAGCAGAGTAATAGACAGATCTTTACGTCCCTTGTTTGAACAAGGATATTCTTATGAAACACAAATTATATGTAATTTATTAGCTGTCGATGGTGTTTGTGATCCAGATATATTATCTATTAACGCTGCATCTGCAGCATTAAGTATTTCTGATATCCCATGGAATGGGCCTGTAGGGGCTGTAAGAGTTGGAATAATTGATAAAAAACATGTACTTAATCCTTCAAGACGTGAACTTCAACAAAGTTCATTAAATCTCATACTATCTTGTACATCTAAAAACCTTCTTGTTATGCTAGAAGGATCTGCTGATGATATTTTGGAACCAGATCTTCGAAAAGCAATACGATTAGGTGCAAAGGAATGTCAGACAATTATACAGTCTATAACAAATTTACAAAATCAAATTGGAAAGCCTAAATTTAAAATTGAGAAAAATCAAGATTTAAATGATGATGTAATTAAATTTGTAGAGGAATTTTCAAAATCTAAGCTACGTAAGATTTTTACGTGTTATGTTCACGATAAGACGTCACGGGACTCTGCTGTTTCCGATCTTAGAAACGAGATGTTAGAGAGCATAAATGATCGCGGTTCAGAATTTATTTCAATAGCTACAAAAGCTTTTAGTAATGTTACTAGAGAAGTTTTCAGATCTGTAATATCTGAGACAGAGAAGAGGTACCTTTTTCTTTATAAACTATAAATTTATTTCTGATAATCAATCAGCAATATACATATTAAATATGAATAGTTCAATAATTTTAGATGCGACGGTCGCCAGTTGGATCAATTGAGACCGATAGAGTGTCAAGTCAACTTATTTAAGCCGCTCCATGGTTCAGCTTTTTTCCAGAGAGGTCAAACACAAGTTTTATGCACGGTTACCCTTGATAGCATAGAGAGTTCTCTTAAATTGGATACCGTTTCAATGTTGACTAGGTAACTAATTTGTATAGGAATTTTCGTTAAAAACCTTTATGCGCTATAAATAAATATTGTTTTTTCAATTTATAGCGGTATAAAGGAAAAGCATTTTTTCTTGCATTATGAATTCCCACCATATGCAACAAATGAAATAGGTAAAACTGTAATGGCTAATCGCAGAGAAATAGGTCACGGAGCATTAGCAGAGAAAGGATTGAGAGCAGTTATACCAAAAGATTATCCATTCACTATAAGACTGACTAGTGAAGTATTAGAATCAAACGGTGAGTTCGGCAAACTTAACGATAATTGTCTATAATTAAAAAATTCATTCGTTCATGTAAACGTAATATTTTTTCCTATCGTTTAAAGGTTCTTCTTCAATGGCTACTGTTTGCGGTGGTAGTTTAGCATTAATGAATGCAGGTGTTCCAATATCGGCCGCAGTTGCTGGTGTGGCTATGGGATTGATATATACCCCGAACAGTAATTCTGAATCTGAAGACGAAGACTACAAGATATTAACGGATATATCAGTAATTTTGCTTTAATTAAAACGTAAATAAGAATTTGATTTTAATATTAATAATAATGATTCTTTGTATCTCGAATAACAGGGTATAGAGGATTATTTTGGAGATATGGATTTTAAAATAGCGGGTACAAAGAAAGGATTTACCGCTTTACAGGTTGATGTAAAGCTACCAGGTGTTCCTTTGAAGGTAATAATGAAGGCTATACAGAAAGCATCTGGGGCGAAGAGTCGAATCATCAATATCATGAGTCAAGTAATAGCATCTCCGACGAACGATAAAAAAGACAATACACCTGTAATTGAAACCATAGAAGTACCTGTATACCAAAGAGGAAAGTTTCTCGGAGTAGGAGGAGCAAATTTGAAAAAAATTCTTCATGAAACTGGAGTCAACGTAAGTTTAAAGAATATTGGGCAGAGGTATCGATTAGATTATTCTGTTGCTGAAGAATGATCATTTCCTTTTGTAGATATATCCGCAAGAGGATGCAGTATTTTCCATATTTGCACCTAATCAGAATGCAATGAACGAAGCGAGAAAAATGTTGAATGAAATTCTTCAGAAAGATACGGAACCAATTTTAACGTTTGGCGACATTTATACAGCAAAGATAACTGAAATTCGTGAGACTGGAGTTATGGTTACGTTATATTCCAGCATGATGCCAACTTTTTTACCCAACTCACAGTTAGATAACCGTAAAGTACAACATCCCAGTGTACTTGGTTTGAACGTTGGAGACGAAATACAAGTGAAATATTTCGGACGAGATCCTGTGAGCGGACACGTTAGATTATCGCGAAAAGTGTTGCAGCATCCGATTTCTACCGTAAGAAATTACAGCAGTACCGAAGGTAAAATAAAATCCTATTACCAGTGGCTATTTAACGATAAGTTCTCCAAACTTCGACGTAATATCGATCAAACGGATTGATTAGCGGCACGTTTCAAGTTAAATAAACTTCTCATTTTCAATGACACAAAGAGATCCCAATTGAACGTGATTTGAAGGTTTAACAGATTGGAAATGCTTTCACGTTTGTATCATTACGTCTTCAAACGTACATCCACTTTTGTTCTCAGCATTGTCATTACTTCGGTATTCTTTGAAAGAGCTTACGATCAAGTTTGCGACAATATCTTTGAATGGGTGAACGAAGGTGTACGTAATGGTCACGTTTATTGAGATACTTTATTAATCAAACGTATACATTACGTAATCATACTTTTATAAAGATAATTGAACATTCATCCGTTTAGAATCCGTGAAACATCGACCGATTAAATTCGAAGTACGAAATTTTTAGTCTGATCTTACTTATTTTTGCAGAGACTTTGGAAACACATAAAGGAGAAATACGAAAATCAATCAGCGACAGTGACCTATCAAGCTCAAGGAAAATTCAATGAAGAAAGAAGATCTAATTTGCGGAAGGAATCTAATGAAGATAGAAAGGGGAACTGATTGTGTAAAGGAGATTTGTAGAATAAAACGATTCGTTATTCAATAAAATGAAAGAAAAATAGTCTTTTATATCTAAATAATATTATTAATTATCACACTTCTATTCTTGTATATTATAACGGACAAAATTGTCACCTAAAAGAATTCTTTTACAAATATTTGTTGAACCATTGTAAAACTCAATATTCTGAAAAACAAAACCGCATGTGAACAGAATTTTAATCATTTACTATGTATTTTCTCAAGATAGATTATCTGTATATTTTTGAAAATATAGCTCATTCCTTTCTTAATTATACGACTATCTTTAATATGTTTTCGTTTATAAATAGTCTATTTAATTCACGATTATATTGACGGGGAATTGTCACGTTTGAATTCACCGCTATACTCCCCTTTTATGTATCATATTCTAAGCGATAAGACTTTAATATATAAGAAAGCGACAGGAAAGATTTCGTTTAGTCGTATTCAACGTTCCGAAGTAGATGTACTTCGCATTTCACCGTACTTGAACAAGGTGAGTAGAAAAAAATGTTTCGCTATTTCTTCAAAATTGATCATTGTTTACTCTAACTGGCAATCAACCATTTGATATTAAGGAAATTAGTGACTGATAATTATTTTGATCAAAGTACATCATTAATATACATGTTGTCGTATAACTGGCGATACAAACGGATAGGGACTGATCCTACGTGAAAAAATAAGTTACAAATAAAGAATGAAATTTTTTCATTTGGAACTTTGTTTCCGAGAAAATCGAATTTGGCCAAGTCTTATTTTAACAGATTTCACTGTAGAACCTACATCCATTCTAAGTCTTATTATCCATAAGTCTTCAAGAAACATCAATTTCCTTTCTTTAAACAAAAAGAGCAAAAATCTTCTTCAAAAGTTGAACAAATCGATAAGTAATCATAGATTTCTTTTTTATGCAATTTTACAGCTACGAAGATGTTGGCTGCGGTGACAACAGCATTAATTCTTTCGCCGTTATTGGTACATGGAAATTTATTTGAATACGTGGATTACCCGATTATTTGCAACAACGAGACTTTAACGCTTAAAGGTTACTGTATGGGTACAACTCCAGCTAATTTTATCGAGTATCCCAGTCTGAGATGTGTAAGCATTGTAAACAGTGATATCAGTTCGTTGCAGGAGGGCTCCTTTGATGGACTGCCAAATTTGATTTATCTAAATCTTGAAGGAAATTTGATTCCTCCGAATAAATTATTCTCTTTCGGTAACATTTCAAACATCACGGCATTGAGTCTCAATGATCAGAGGACGGACTATTATTACAATGAAGTATTGCAAGTGAACACCGTGTATCCTAAACTTCTATATTTGAATTTGAGGAATACTAAAATCTCGGGGATAATAAGCACAGAGTTTAATCCTTTTCCACAATTATCGTATCTGGATCTTTCGAACAATCAGTTCATCTCGTTAAATTTCATACAATTGTGGAACAACTCACTTACGTATTTGAATCTTAATCGCAATCAAATTTCACAGTTTTTCCTCCACGAATTAAACAATTTGATATCGCTTAACCTGGTTGATAATAGCATTAAAAGTATAGGCGATGGTTATGATCTTGATCTGAGGGGGCTGAGTAGATTAGAACATCTTTCCATAGCGAATAATCGAATAAATTTTATTAGCGAAACAGCATTCAACCACACGGTTAAGCTTCGATACTTAAATATTTCTGGTAATGCTTTGACAGCGTTTAGTCCTGAATTATTTACACCTTTGACCTCTCTGGAAGTTCTTATATTGGATAATAATAACTTTAATGATATCCCACTAATAATGTCATCGAATACAACAACATTGTCGATGAATTGTAACAATATAACTTATTTAAAACCAAACTCGTTGGACGTGTTGCTTCATCTGAGAAAGTTGTCTTTAGCCGGAAACAGGATTTTGAACATTTACCCTGGAACGTTTAAATCTCAAAGGCTGTTGGAGGAATTATATTTAAACGATAACGAGCTGACTCATTTGTCAAAAAGCTGGTATCAGTCTATGAAGAAACTTCGATATTTGGATTTATCGGGGAACAAATTTACTTCGATTAATTTTATGTCTGATTTGACTAACGACGCTTTGAAAGAGGTTCACCTGGACGGTAACCCTATTATGTTCATCGAAACAGGTATGCTGAAATCAGTACCAGAAAATGTGACGATTTATCTGAACATGAACATGCCACCACGGATGAGTTTCTGTAGACGCTCAGATTCTGAATATTATTAAGCACTTCACGACGATGTTATCGTTACAATATGGTGTACCAGTATATTGAATTTTGAAAGAGAATATATAGAACAATATTATATCGGACCATGTATCAATAATACAACATATTCGATTATATTCGAATATTAATTAATATTCAAACTGTAATATTATAACAATGAATATATAATAATCTTATAATAAAAAACTAGGACACATCTTCTTTCACTTTTGTCTCTCATTAACCTTCCCCTATTTAGAAAAATTTGAACTCGAGTGCAATGTAGGCTTCTCGACTTGCTTTTGATGTTAGAAGACGGGAAAATCAAACATGGAACCTCCTATCTTCCTAGATAAAAATATAGATAAATAAGGTGACATTTGACCTTAGTTACATCCGCTGCAGTTCCATTAAAAATACCTATCACCGATACTCTGTAAAAAAAAGAAGATTATATTGACAATGTTTGAATAAAAAATCAATAATCGATCCGGATTGGCGGAAGCGTTTCAAGGCGAGACGTTGAACAACGCTTTCGTCGCTGAAATATTCGTCGAAATTTTAAAGAAGTTGTTCAAGTAACTTCTTATAATATGATTTTGACATCTTTCTTTTTCAATAAAAAAATTACTTCAAACGCTTAAATTTCTTTCATCAGTTATCGTAAAGGTAAGTGTAAAAGCAAATGTATCGAAAGGAAAGAAAATTCGAGTTCCCTTCCCTTTTCATTTTCATCATATAATTATTTAAAAAATTTCCGATGAGCTGGCAGGAATTTGGAGCCTCTTCTCAAAAAAGGGGGCCAGAAGAATCCCAGGGGAACCCTAAAAAAACAAGGGGTATCCTCCTACTTACTAGAGGGTTCGTCAGGTCACTAATTACTCCGTAAAAATTCCCAGTCCCTTCCTACTATCAACGGGTCTCTCTTTTCAATCGTTCGCGATAAAACGATATCACAGGAGGCAAGATATAATTTTGCAGTCGTCAATTCGTAAAAATAACAGCGGAGCAAACAGTAGTGCAGTTATCTCCCGAAGAAGATGGAAGGAAAAAGGAAAAAAATGCTTCGAGTTCATTTCATCAATGATTTCATCATTACTCTGACGCAGAAGTAAATTAGATTAAAATGTCATTCGTGTCAGATGTTTAAGCTATAGAATATCGGAATCTGCAGAAGTTGATTGTCTGTCGGCTGTAGAGTTTGTTCGCCACGTCTTGCACGAGTCTTCTAATTTAACAAGGTACGTATCGAACGATCAACGATCAATTTAAGGTAGTTGCATGGTGAAAATCAAATTCAAAAGTTAGACATCTCTTTCGCTCGGTCAAACATTTTTGTTCCAAAGTAAATAGGAAAATATGTGGGCGAACTTTGCTGGCGTATTCTATTCTTTCTTAACATGAAAAAGAGACTGTGACTTGAGGGTGGTTTTCTTTTTCCACGTACATACTCGCACAGACGTCTACCGTAGCGGAGTGGGTGGGTGCGAACTAGGGATGGGTGCGCGGCTACCCGAAAATTCGGATCGGGCTCCAGTCGGGAATTTTCGTCGGGTTCGAATGGCACTCTGAATATTCGGATACCCGTCATTTCGGGACCAGAACTCAATAGACGAATTTTCGGGTACCCGCGCACTCCTAGTATCTACGTGAGAAAAGAAAACGACTCTCCAATAGCTGTCGGTATCTACTTTGGTTTCCGCTGCGAGAGGATGTTAATTGATGTTAATTCTTACATCAGCGAGTCATTGATCAGAACTGTACGTCTTGTTTCAGATATAAAAAATGATTGCGATGACCAATCCCATTCTTGCCATTGTAATTATAGCCTTAATCAATGTTACTGCCTCGGCAGTAATAAAGTTTGATTCTAATGCTAAGACATTAGACATAGAAATAATTGTAAGACCAAGGCTCATTTGTGAGGACAATGAAGAAAGTTTAAATCTATCAGACAATAAATTAACGAAAATAAAAACAGGATTTATTAACAGTTCGGCAATACGATCAATTTCATTAAACAATAATAAAATTCAGGAAATACCAAATGGGGTGTTCGATCATGTTCCAAATTTGAAGTGCTTGGATCTGTCGAATAATAAAATAAAAACATCAGAACTGGTGAATTTAAAACATGATGGTTTAAAAACCCTGATATTTGATAATCAAAAACCCGCGAAATCAAATAATTTGATGAACGATGTATTATTTAATACGTCACAGGTAAGTTTGCCAAATGTGCAAACTTTATCTTTGAAAGGGATTCGTTACGATATATTTGGGCTCTATTCAAATTTATTTCCATCGCTGTCTACAATTTTTTTTACTGATAATAATCTGCAGTACATAAATCCCGATTTGGAAGAATGTTGCAGTCATCACTTGAGAAGTATTCATTTCGAACAAAACGATTTAAGAAATGTAACTTTAAATGATTTGGAAAACGTGGAAGAGCTGTACTTCGACAATAATCCAATAGAGTTCCTCGAGATTAAAACTCACCACAATTTGAAACTTCTTTCTTTGGCGAATTGTAATCTGGGAGCAGAATGGTATTTATCTTTATTTAATATAGAGACTTTAGATTTGTCAGGAAATCGAATGAATGAATCTATTATCACTGAAAAGTTTTCGGAGGTTTTAAATTTAGAAAATTTGTCCTTAAGTTGTCACGTAGACAGACCGTTTTTATCAAACGTGTCTCCTTTCAAATAAGCTTAAACATCTGGAAAGGAAAACTCTCGGGCAAACCGACCATTTACTCTCGTAATAAACAGAAGGCCCACCGATAGCAGAACCAAACACTTGGGAAAGCAATGGGTCCGCCGTAATCAAATAGCAGATGCAACCACTCTAAACTGTCGCAGAGGCAGGTGGACCCAGCCTGATCACTCGAATAGTAACCAGACCACCCTTCTTAATTAGTATATAAACCCGTTCGTACCAACGATCGGGGGCAGTACCAGAGTTCATCTCGTGTCGAGCACGTCGTGTACGGTAGTGAGTTGGTTACTATTAGTGAGATCGGGTTGAAGTCCCCTTCGAGCAACATTCACCTTATAGAATCCGCGAGTCGTGTTTCTATTTGGCATTACAATTAACCACACACAACACCCCCGCATTGCCAGTGCGTGAACACCGAGCATAGTGGAAATAGGTAATATATCACATTATACACCTATATTCGCGACAACAACATCTGTAATAGACCAAGATTGTAGAATATATACATTGCTGTGTCAAACCCACATTAGCATTCTCCTTTAAACCCAGTGAAACCTTGTGACAGTTCCTACCACAATACAATCTTACCGCTCGGGTTGTATTGATAATAAAATAAGTTACGCGGCCGCCAATCAAAAAGCCTCTGATAGCCACGCGCGCTGCCAAGCCGTCGGCCACGTAACAAAGTCGTAACAATTTTACAACTATTCCACATTTGGACAACTTGCCTCGACTACAAAAATTATCGCTCAGTTACAATATGATCGAAACGATCAGTGACGTGATACAGGCAGGCTCTTTAAAAACGTTAGACTTGAGAGGAAATCGTATAATCGATATCTATCCGGGTGCTTTCTGGGGTGTTCCGATGCTCGAAGAATTAGATTTGTCGCACAACCAATTGTATATTTTGGATTATCGTTGGGGTGAAAATCTGAATATGCTTCGTTCTTTAAATTTAAAATCAAACCTGTTCGAAACTATGTCCCATATGGGTATTCGCTCGTTCAGCAATGTTACGGATGTATATGTAGGAAACAACTATTTTCAAATGATACACAATTATGACATTCTAGATTTACCCAATGAATGTACCATATACGTGATTTAAAAAGAAAATTGTTAAAAAACAAAATGTATTATGTATATAACGTAAAGAAATAAAGATTGGAAAAGAAAAATATTTTTTATCGTCTTAACATGGTGTCTTCTGTCTTCCGACTTTACAACGGAAGTTATCATCATTTTCTGCCCCGAAATCTGTAGCTAAACATTGCAGAGGGATATACTATACTCGTGGTGAGATTGTTGTAACTATGATATCTTTTGTAATTGGAGAACAACGAGAGGTAATCAGCAAACGTTTGCACGTATCGGTTCAACAACCGTACTTCTATTATGTTTACCAACGACGAATAAAAGCTCTATGAAGAAAGAACATCTAATTTGCAGAAAGAATCTGACGAAGATAAAAAGAAGAACTGATTGTGCAAAGGAGATTTGTAGAATAAAATGAAAGAAAAATAGTCTTTTATATTTAAATAATATTATTAATTATCACACTTCTATTCTTGTATATTATAACGGAAAAAATTGTCACCTAAAAGAATTTTTTTAGAAATATTTGATGAGCAATTGTAAAACTCAATTTTTTGAAAAACGAAACCACATGTGAATAGAGTTTCTATCATTTTCTATGTATTTTCTCAAGATAAATTAGATGATCTGTATATTTTTGAAAATATAGTTTATTCCTTTCTTAATTATAAGACTATTTTTATTAAGTTTTCGTTTATAAATATTATGTTTAATTCACAATTGTACTGATGGGGAATCGTCACGTTTTAATTAATTATTATACTTTATCTCTGTTTATCAGATTTCAAGCGATAAGACTATATATAACAAAGCGACAGGAAAGATTTCGTTTAATCGTAGTTAATGTTCTGAAGTAGATGTACTTCGCATTTTACCGTATTTGAACAAGGTGAGTGGAAAAAAAGAGCGCAAAAAGAAACTATTTCTTCAAAATTGATCATGGTTTATTATAACTGGCAATCAACCATTTTATATTAAGGAAATTAGTGACTGATAATTATTTTGATCAAAGTACATCATTAATATACATGTTGTCGTGTAACTGGCGATACAAGCGGATAGCGACTGATTCTACGTGAAAAAATAAGTTACAAATAAAGAATGAAATTTTTTCATTTGGAACTTCGTTTCCGAGAAAATCGAATTTGGCCAAGTCTTATTTCAACAGATTTCACTGTAGAACCTACATCCGTTCTAAGTCCATTTCCTTTCTTTAATCAAATAAGCAAAAATCTTCTTTAAAAGTTGAACAAATCGATAAGTAATCATAGATTTCTTTTTTCTGCAATTTTACAGCTACGAAGATGTTGACTGCGGTGACAATAGCACTAATTCTTTCGACGCTATTGGTACTTGGAAATTTCTTTGAATACATGGATTACCCGATTCTTTGCTACAACGAGACTTTAACGCTTAAAGGTTACTGTAGCGGTAAAATTTCAGCTAATTTTATCGAGTATCCCAGTCTGAGATGTGTAAGCAATGTAAACAGTGATATCAGTTCTTTGGAGGAGGGCTCCTTTAATGGACTGCCAAATTTGATTTATTTAAATCTTGAAGGAAACGTGATTCCACCAAGTAAATTATTCTCTTTCGGTAACATTTCAAACATCACGTCATTGGATCTCAATGATCAGAGGACGAACAATTATTTCGATAGAGTATTGGAAGTGAACACCGAGTATCCTAAACTTGTATATTTGAATTTGAGGAATACTAGGATCTCGAGGATATCAAACACCGTGTTTAATCCATTTCCACAATTGTCGTATCTGGATCTTTCGTTCAATTAATTATCCTCCTTTAATTTCGAACAATTTGGGAACGACTCACATATATATTTGAATCTTAATCACAATCAAATTTCAAGGGTCTCCTTCAATAAATTAAACAATTTGATATCGCTGAACCTGGTTGATAATGGCATTAAAAGTATAGGCCATGGTTATGATGTTTTTCTGGGGGCCTGAGAAGATTAGAACATCTTTCCATAGCGAATAATGGAATAAATTTTATTAGCGAAACAGCATTCAACCACACGGTTAAGCTTCGATATTTAAATATTTCTGGTAATGCTTTGACAGCGTTAAGTCCTGAATTATTTAAACCTTTAACCTCTTTGGAAGTTCTTATATTGGATAATAATAACTTTAATGATATCCCACTAATAATATCGAACATATCAACGTTGTCGATGAATTGTAACAATATAACTTATTTAAAGCCAAGCTCGTTGGACGTGTTGCTTCATCTGAGAAAGTTGTCTTTAGCCGGAAACAAGATTTCGAACATTTACCCTGGAACGTTTAAATCTCAAGTGCTGTTAAAGGAATTATATTTAAACGATAACGAGCTGACTCACTTGTCAAGAAGCTGGTATCAATCTATGATGAAACTTCGATATTTGAATTTATCGGGCAATAAATTTACTTCGATTGAATCTGTTCTTGATTTGGCTAACGTCGCTTTGAAAGAGGTTCACCTGGCCGGTAACCCTATAACGTTCATCGAAACAGGTAGACTGAAAACAGTAGCACAAAATTTGACGATTTATCTGAACATGAACGAGACACGACCGACGAGCTTCTGTAGACGCTCATATTCAGAATTATCGTTACAAAGTGGCATACCAGCATATTGAATTTTGAAAAAACATGTATAGAACAATATTATGTCGGACCATGTATCAATAATATAACGGTATTAATTAATATTCAAACTGTAAAATTATAACAATAAATATATAATTGTATAAAAATTATTCAAAATAATTATATAGTATAATTGTATATACATTAATCGTATAAATAAAATATATAATCTGATAATAAAAAACCAGGACACATCTTCTTTCACTTTTGTCTTTCATTAACCTTCCCCTATTTAGAAAAATTTGAACTCGAGTGCAATGTAGGCTTCTCGACTTGATTTTGATGTTAGAAGACGGGAAATTCTAACATGGAACCTCCTATCTACCTAGATAAAAATATAGATAAATAAAGTGACATTTTTCTTGAACTGTAGTTTTATTGAAAATACCTATCACCGATACTCTATAAAAAAAAATTGATTATATAGAAATGTGTTTATCGAGCTCGATACTATACGTTGATCAATCACGTTATTGATAATGTTTCAATAAAAAAAGTATAATCGATCCGGATGGGCGGAAGCGTTTCAAGGCGAGACGTTGAACGACGCTTTCGTTGCTAAAATATTCGTTGAAATTTCAAAGAAGTTGTTCATTGAAAAGTAGCTCATTCGAGTTCTGTTCCCTTTTCATTTTCATCATATAATTATTAAGAAAATTCCAATGAGCTGATAGGGATTTGGAGCCTCTCCGCAAAAAGGGGGCCAGAAGAATCCCAGAGGAACCCTACAAAAGCAAGGGGCATCCTCCTATCTACAAGAGGGTCCGTCATATCACTAATCTCTCGGTAAAAATTCCCAGTCCCTTCCTGCTATCATCGGTTCTCTCTTTTCAATCGTTCGCGATAGAACGATTTCACAGGAGGCAAGATATAAATTTTGCAGCGGTCAATTCGTAGAAATAACAGCGAAGCAAACACTGCTGCATTTATCCCCTGGAGAGGACGGGAGAGATATGGAGCCATATACACGTGAAAAGGAAAAAAAGTTCATTTCATCAATGATTTCATTATTACTCTGAGGCAGTAGTAATTTAGATTAAAATGTCGTTCGTGTCAGATATTTAAGCTACAGAATGTCGGAATCTGCGGAAGTTGGTTGTCTCTCGGCTGTAGAGTTTGTTCGTCGCTTATTGCTCGAGTCTTCTAATTTAACAAGGTACGTACCGAATGATCAACGATTAATTTAACGTAGTTGCATGGTGAGAGTCAAATTCAAATGTTAGACATCTCTTTCGCTCGGTCAAACATTTTTGTTGCAAAGTAAATAGGAAAATATGCGGGCAAACTTTGCTGGCGTATTCTATTGTTTCTTAATATGAAAAAGAGACTGCGACTTGAGGGTGGTTTTCTTTTTCCACGTACATACTCGCACAGACGTCTACCGTAGCGGAGTGGGTGGGTGCGAACTAGGGATGGGTGCTCGGCTACCCGAAAATTCGGATCGGGCTCGAGTCGGGAATTTTCGTCGGGTTCGGATGGCACCCTGAATATTCGGATACCCGTCATTTACCCGCCAGAACTCAACAGACGAATTTTCGGGTACCCGCGCACTCCTAGTATCTACGTGTGAAAAAGAAACGACTCTCCAATAGCTGTCGGCATCTACTTTGGTTTCCGCTGCGAGAGGATGTTAATTGATGTTAATTCTTACATCAGCGAGGCAATGATCAGAATTGTACGTTTTATTTCAGACATAAAAAATGATTACAATGAACAAACCAATTCTTGCTATTTTAATCATAGCCTTAATTAATATTACTGCCTCGGCAGTAATAAACTTCGATTCTCATGCAAAGATATTGGACATAAATGTAATTGTAAGAAGACGAAGGCTCATTTGTGAGGACAATGAAGAAAGTTTAAATCTATCAGACAATAAATTAACGAAAATAAAAACAGGATTTATTAACAGTTCGGCAATACGATCGATTTTATTAAACAATAATGAAATTCAGGAAATACCTAATGGGGTGTTCGATCATGTTCCAAATTTGGAATGCTTGGATCTAAGGAATAATCAAATACCAACATCACAACTCTTGAATTTGAAACACGATGGTTTAAGAACCCTGATATTTGATGACCAAAAACCCGCGAAATCGAACATTTCGATGAACGATGTATTGTTTAATACGTCACAGGTGAGTTTGCCAAATGTGGAAACATTATCTTTGAAAGGGATTCATTACGATCATTTTGGGCTCTATTCGAATTTATTTCCATCGCTGTATACGATTTTCTTTATTAATAATTATCTGCAGTACATAAATCCCGATTTGGTAAAATATTTCAGCCATCACTTGAGAAGTATTCATTTCGAACAAAACGATTTAAGAAATGTACATTTAAATGATTTGAGAAACGTAGAAGAGCTGTATTTTGACAATAATCCATTAGAAAGCCTCCAGATTGATACTCACCACAATTTGAAAATTCTTTCTTTGGCGAATTGTGATCTGGGTGGAGAATGGTATTTATCTTTATTTAATATAGAGACTTTAGATTTATCAGGAAATCGAATGGATGAATCTATTACCACTGAAAAGTTTTCCGAGGTTTTAAATTTAGAAAATTTGTCCTTAAGTCGTAACAAATTTACGACTATTCCACATTTGGACAACTTGCCTCGACTGCAAAAATTATCGCTCAGTTACAATATGATCGAAACGATCAGTGACGTGATACATGCAGGCTCTTTAAAAACGTTAGACCTGCAAGGGAATCGTATAAACGATATCCATCCGGGTGCTTTCTGGGGTGTTCCGATGCTCGAAGAATTAGATTTGTCGCACAACCAATTGTATATTTTGGATTATCGTTGGGGTGAAAATCTGAATATGCTTCGTTCTTTAAATTTAAAATCAAACCTGTTCGAAACTATGTCCCATATGGGTATTCGCTCGTTCAGCAATGTTACGGATGTATATGTAGGAAACAACTATTTTCAAACGATACACAATTCTGACATTCTAGATTTACCCAATAATTATACCATATATGTTAACTAAAAAAAATGTATTATGTATGTAACATAAAGAAATAAAGGTTGGAAAAGAAAAATATTTTTTACCGTCTCAGCATGGTGTCTTCTGTCTTCCGATTTTGCAACGGAAGTTATTATCATTTTCTGCTATGAAATGTGTAGCTAAACATTCCAGAAGGATATACTATACTCGCTGTGAGATTACTATATCTTTGTAATTGGAGAACAATGAGAGGTAATCAGCAAATTTGCACCCACCATCGGCTCAACAAACCCCAGTCGCCTTGTACTTCCATTTTGTTTACCAACGACAAATAAATTAGACAAATTTTGGAGCAGAGATCAGGTAAGGGAGGATTTCAAAAATCTAAGATCAGAAGACGACGCTTTAATGGCTGAATTATTCTTCCTCCAGTAGACTTTGAATTTTAAATCAGTAAAAGTGAAAGTAAATTAATGATCCATTTATCATTTTTTATCTTCTTCGCGTGGGATGACAATTTTGTCATTTTAATAACTACATATTTCTTGCGAAGCGCAGCAAGGTTAGCCGAGAGCACGGCACTGCCCTGAGGACGCTTCGGCATTGAATTTCTTAAGAATTATCGCTACCTTATAAGTCGAGACCAATTCGAGTTCTCTGGACAGAATGTGTTACGTCGTTCGAGTGTGCTGAACCACAGGGGACGTTTAGAAATCTTAAAGTGTCACCAATTATCAACGTTTTATAACAATTAATTTAAGTACTCGTGATAGAAGAGGGTGCATCTTCGCAACCAATCGTGAGAACTTCATCTTCGAAAGGTAATTTTCGTTTTGTCAGCCATGTAGTTTTCATTTGTTCATATTTTCATCAAGTATTCTCATTTTTCATGCTCGCAGATGTCAACTTCATGGTCGACGGGGTTGCTGATACTTGCCTTCAGCGCGCAGATGCTGTGCAACCACGACAATAATGATCTTCCAATAATTGTTTCCAGATACCCTCCTAACCATCCTAGGAACAAGTATCCGCATCATCATTCTGGTAATGACGACAACGCCATCGCGGGGAACAAGCCATCATCTTCAGCAAAGGTGGATCCTCCGGTTCCGAATGGCATTCCTAATCCTTACCCTGTCCATAAAGTCACGTCGTCAGTTCCATACGAACCTCCCATTAAAAATCAAAAGACCATTCAAGTGCACTGTCCACCGGCTGCGGTCCTGAATTTCGCTCGGGTAGGGCTGAGGAGGATCGGCGACGCGTTCATCGAGAGTTCAGAAACGAAGGAGCTCTACCTGGACAGTAACGAGATCGCTGAGATCTCCAGCACGGCGTTCTCCTCGTTGAATCAATTGGAAGTTCTCAGTTTATCGAACAACAACATCCCAACCGAAAAGCTGTTATGGTTCGCCAAACACTACATGCTGCGGAAGTTGGTTCTGGACGACAACAGATACAACGATACCACCTCCTCCAGTATCCAGAAGATATTTCAATCGCTGCCGAAGCTAGAAGAATTGTCTTTGAAGAGGGACGGCATTTCGCGTTTCGCCGTCAATTTGAACAGTTTCGCACCTAGGCTGAAGTATCTCCAACTTTCGGGGAACAGCATCGACGAGCTGGATTTTCTGGACGATCTACCAGCAACTATGACCTATCTTCACCTGGACGACAACCAGATCACCAAGGTAAGGAGCGTCGCTCTGAAACACCTCGTGGAGCTGTCCGTGAGCGGTAATCAGATCGAGCAACTCTGCTCCGATCAGTGTTCCGATTCCTACCTATCGTTGAATGGCTTGGAGAGATTGCAAAGGTTGGACGCTTCTCGGAACAGCATCAAAGCGTTGACGGACAACCCGTTCTCCGACACGAAAGAACTGATTTCCTTGGACTTGTCTCGCAACAAGATCAAGACCTTTCCGGTTGACATATTCAAACCGTCGCCGAAGCTCGAGGAGCTTTTCTTGAGTCACAATCAGTTCCCATCGGTACCGAACATCTGCTCGTTGAATTATCTGAGGCAACTGGACTTGAGCTACAACAACATAGGTGTCGTCGCCAAGAACGACTTGTGCGGCGGGTCGAATCATCAATTGCATACTTTGCTTTTGAGAGGGAACCATATCACCGAGGTGGACACCGAGATTTACACGCAACTGAAGTACTTGAAGAAACTCGATCTGTCGGACAATCTAATCCTTCACCTTCCGGTGACTCTGATCCATAGGGCTAGGTCCTTGCAAACTCTTCTGCTGAGGAACAACAACATCGAGAACATCGACGAGCTGTTCAATACCCACTCGAGCACCTTGCAGGATCTACATCTTCAGGGGAATCCGATCTCCGTTGTCAAATATTCGGTTAGGTCAAACACTGTGGTACATTTGAAGGACGTGCCGCGAGAGACGAAGGAGGAACCGGAGGATCTGACGAGCAACGAAATCGACGACAAAGATTATTCGTCCAACGAATCTTTCTAGCTTTAGAAAGATCGAATGAACGTTATTCGAGGTTAGTAGATGGTAAAGTTAATTATGCAATTAATAAATTATAAAGGTACTAATAAATCAAAATATTATGGATTATCTTATGAACATATTGACAATTTTTTTTTTCTTTGCTTTCAGAGTACTTGGACTAATTACCAAGTGAAGAATAGAAGAATAAACGAGGGATTGTTGGAGTGTCGTCTAACTTTCAATACTAACAATTAGAGTAGCAATGTTAATGAAATACTAATAGATATAATACTATAGTAGAATATTGTAACACTAACATTATTTTCTTTTTTTTCTATAAGTATATTTGTGGAATACTAACATTTTTCTTATAATTAATGTATTGCCAGTGAGAAATAAATGTTACTTATACCGTTATAATGTTCATTTCACTTTACCTTAATATTCCAATTCATTTTTTCCAAAAAACTATTATATCAAGTTCCTTGAACATTCCAAGTTTCGAAAATTGTTGATTTCGTAGAAGTGATTTAAGATTCTAATTTAGAAGTTTAATAATTCCCATGGATCACTCGATCCTCCCCTTCCGGATCGAACCGGAAGACACTCCACCTTATCGAGTCAGCGAAGTTATTCTTAGCAGTCTTCCCTCCCTGCTTCGAGATGGCGATATAATCGCGAAGTACAGTTACTAGTAAAGATAAACGAAGTTTCAAGTAAACTTCTCGAAAGCAAGTATTCCTCTATAAATAATTTTTCTATAGAAAATATTCTTCCTACGTTCATTTTTTAATTGTTCCACTAAATCAGCTCTTCGATGACCCCAAAGACAATCAAAATGGTAAACTGGGATTTAAAATTACAGAAGAAAGATAAGAAGGTACAATTGCTACCTTAATTTTTTAGCATCGATATCGACGATGAGGGTCCTTTGTCAACCGAAGCAAGGGACACTGGGATGCGTTAGATTGGTGGACAGAAAGAAGGGTCAGCAAAAGCTAAAGGAATGTTTTCCATTTAGGAGACATCCGTTTGATGGGACATAAATGGCACTCGCCCTTTCCCCTTTCATCCCTAAAGCGTAGGAGGTAACGGAGACGAAAAAATACGAGATTCTTGGTGAAGTTTGTCTTTGAAAGCGATCCTCTTTCTTATCTCTCTCGAGTCCTTTCTTGGTAAAGCACAAATTCTGTCGAATTCACCTTCCTTTTCGCTAAAGGTAAACCTTGGAACGAAGAATCCAAGAATGTCCTTAGAGTATTTCCCTCTCTCACACGATTACATTATCATTATTTTTATTTCTATCGTTGTTGCATGCAACTATTCCCTGCGACCAGCTTCAAAGAGATCAGATTCCAAAATGGTCCCAATGGCAAGAACAGTAAACCTGGATCGAGGGAGCAACAAAGGAGGAGTGTTCAATAGAAGAGCGTTTTCGGATTTAACCCTCGGTTCAAAGATCAACGACGAACGAAAAGTGGCAAATGTAAAGGAGGGGGGCGTGGAGGGAGGGGGATAGACAAAAGGTGAAAAAGCGAGCGAAGAAGGAAGCGTTAGGCGACGGGACAACGCGTTCCATCCAGTTGGATCTGGTGTACGTTGACCAAGCTACCTAGAGTGGCTGAGACATCGGGGTGGGGGGCTGGCCTGCTGATCAAGGGTGTCAGTTGGGGTGTAGGAAAGAGGGTGGACGAATGGATGGGAACGCATGCGCCTGCTTTGGCCGGTGTGCGCGCTGGCAGGGATGCAAGCAGAGGGAGACAGAGAAGGGGGATAGAGGGAGAGATTGGCGCGAAAGCGGAAGGAAAAAGAGGGATGGCGAAAGCGTCGGCTGATAAAGAGGAATCTAACGCGACGCGAACGGGTTGAAAGAGGAGAGGGTAGGAGTTAAAACGAGCGAGAGAGAGAGAGAAAGGGAGAGGCTAGAGGCGAGTAAAGATCAGAGAAAGACGGAAGGATCCGCGAGCTCTGCCGCGTCTAGGCAGCTCGAGACTCTACCACCTCCACCAGTTTACCCTTCCTCTTCCTTGCTAGTTTTCTCTCTCTCCTCTTTCAGTGTTCGTTCGAACACGGCCCGGTACGGTTCTGTTGCCCCGTGCTCGAAGCATCCTCTTCGTGATGGGAGCTCGTTGCCGCGGTGGTGTCGGCAGCATCCCTCGGTAGCCGATTCCACGACCCCACCGATGTCGCAGGGCTCGTATCAGGGTGACACGCGCGGTTCTTAATTGCTCGTTCGTTCGTTCGTTAGTTCGTGGTTAAAGAACCGAAACGAGAAAGGAAGCGCCAAACAGAGAGAAAGAAGTGCGAGTGAGAGAGTGTAAGGTGCGAAGGGGAGGTGTGCGTGCAGAAGCAAGGACACCCGCAAGGAACCCTCCGAACATCGTGTGTCGAATGGAGAAACAGTGGTGAGAGATAGAGAGATAGAGAGAGAGAGAGAGCTGTAGCAGTATAGAAGACGCGGGTACGAGGTGTTTTATTCCGCTTGAAATCACAAGGATAGAGAGGGGGTGGTGTCTTCATCAGCGGTCCATCTTCTTTGCTGACGCGATTCATCGAAACAGACTATAGTTCTAGTCTGTTGATAATTATCAGCTAGAAATCATCGTAACGAAAGATGTCTGGGAACTATTCAGCCCGCTGCGAACCCGGTTTGGTTGTGCCAAAATGGCACCCGGAGGAGAACCTATATCTCTCGGATATAATCTTTCGCGGTATCGTCTACTTCTTGCTGCTGCTGTATCTATTCATCGGCGTGTCGATAATCAGCGATCGTTTCATGGCAGCGATCGAGGTGATCACGTCGAAGGAGAAGGAACTGGTGGTACGTCGTCCGGGCAAGGAGCCGCAGATCGTGGTCGTTCGAGTGTGGAACGAGACGGTGGCGAATTTAACGCTGATGGCTTTGGGCAGCAGCGCACCGGAGATCCTCTTGTCGATCATCGAGATCTGGGCGAAGAACTTCGAAGCCGGTGAGCTGGGACCCGGCACGATCGTTGGCTCAGCCGCGTACAATCTCTTCGTCATAATAGCTCTGTGCGTGTTCGTGATACCAAACGGTGAGACGAGGAAGATCAAGCATCTAAGGGTGTTCTTCGTCACCGCCACGTGGAGCATCTTCGCCTACGTGTGGCTGTACGTGATCCTCGCGGTGTCCAGTCCGGGTGTGCTCGAAGTTTGGGAGGGTATACTGACCTTCTCCTTCTTTCCTGCCACCGTGCTAACAGCCTACGTGGCCGATCGTCGTCTCCTCATCTACAAATACCTTCACAAAGGGTACAGGATGAACAAGAGAGGCGTGATCGTGCAGGCCGAGGCTGGCGACTCGGACGGCGGGGTGGAGCTTGAGATCAAGCCGCAGCAGGACAGCTTCAACAGCATGATGGACGCGGATACGCCCGAGGCGAAGGAATTCGAGCAAACCAGACGTGACTACATCAACACTTTGAGAGAATTGAGAAAGAAACATCCGACCCTACCTCTCGAGCAACTGGAAGTGATGGCGCACGAGGATGTACTCGGGAAAGGGCCAAAGAGCCGGGCTTTCTATAGAGTCCAAGCTACCAGAAAGATGGTCGGCGCCGGTAATCTAAGCAAGAAGATCAGCGAAAGGGCGCAGAGCGATCTTAGCGAGGTCAAGGCCGAGCTACAGAGACAGGAAGCGGAGAGCATCGACATCGAGAACGTGAACGCAATGAGGATTTTCTTCGAGCCTGGTCACTACACGGTGATGGAGAACGTAGGCACATTCGAGGTGGGAGTGACCAGGGTAGGCGGTGACCTAAGCAAACCTTGCACCGTTGATTATTGCACCGAGGATGGATCCGCCGAGGCTGGCTCCGATTACATCAGCGCCAGGGGCACCCTGACCTTCGACCCAGGTGAAACCAAGAAGACCATCAAGCTGTCCGTGATCGATGACGAGCTGTTCGAGGAGGACGAACATTTCTACGTAAGGTGAGATCGAAGACTGGTATATCTACTTGAATCAATCTGGCATTTATTTCGATACTCAACTGGGAATTGGCTATTTGATTGTCATCCTGATATTTCATTTAATAAATTCAATTCGAACGATTCGAGTAGGTCACATTGTTCAATTTCGAAGTAGATTCAATGAATTTCATATATCGAGAATGTACAAATAACGCTTCGTCAGTTTCCGATCAAACTGATGTTACGTACATCTGAATTTGTTTTCGTTTCGTGGAAGATCGTTGTGGATCAAATTTTTTCAAATTTACGAATAATTCTGTTGAAATTTTCGAACGATATCCTGCTTTTTTTTTCCTCAAAGAATATCCTTTTTGAAACCAGTGGAAAACATTTGGTTAACTTGCGATTTTATTCGAACGAAAGGAACCACGAGCGAGTGCGAGATCAAAGGAGAAGCTTTCATCGTCTATAGAAAATCTGACGGATAGTAAGCTGGAAAAATAGGGAAAGAATCGAGAAAAAAGAACAACAACGTGTTCCGTCAAACATGTCAGACCTTGAAAAACCCCGAGTTGGGAATTGAAAGAGGCAGAGCGGAAACTGTACAAAATGTTTCATTGTTCCTTCAAACGTATTGCAACCTGAAAATGGAAGGAAAAAAACGTATTCTACCTTCGCTGGAAATAGGTCGAGGTCGAAGAACAATAGAGACACATAAAAAACAACCGTGGTGCATTATTTTTAACGATCATTGGAAGTAATAACTGCACTGATTACAGGGTATTTTTCCAGTTCCTAGCTACTTCAAACAGAAACTTCCTTCCTTTTCTTTTAAATATTATTTTTCTCGTCATTGTTTATTAGGGGTGTGCGGTCGATTAAAAATAATTAACCCCAATTTACCCCGAAGACACCAATTTTCATGATCGAATTCCATAATAAATATTATTAATTTCGAAGAAGTCTTCTTGTTAATACCAAGCATTTTCCATTAACATTCGTGGAACTAGTAGTCCGAACGACTCAATTCCCTATTGAAAAACCGGAAGTAGATTCGATTCGAAAGGTTGTTGAGGGCGTTCGTCGTTTAACGAGCTCGCTGCGATAATAGATTGATAATCGTCTGGGAGAGGCGCATCTTTCAATTAACTTTAACCGGATGGCGGTTTCAATTTCATTATCGTTCAAACTCTACTCGCGAAAGGGACTCTCCACTTATTCGCTGCTTCTTCAGCGTATCGCGTACCATCAATTACCATTCGATTAATTTTATTGATCATTACGGTTCAGTTACCTTTCAGCCCTTCTATTCACCCTTTGATACCTAAAATTGCTTATTAAAATATTTTCCTATTGCAAATTATTATTTTCCAAGATTAAATCATCAAGGCCATTTTTGAGAAGAAATTTAGAAAGGGGTAGACGAAATTCAGAAATCAATAAGGAAAGCAATTTCATTTGGAACACCGTTCGAGATTGCGATTAGGCTTCTATGTTATTTTTTTTCTGAAAACTTGGCTTTATCTAACGAGGCAAGGGTCACGAGAAGATAGTGGCTGGAATATGCCAACGGTACTTTCGAGTACTCGAGACGAGCACGAGGTGCTTGGATTAAGAGCGACAAAATTGCTCTCTCTAGAGAGTGAATTCCCACAGTTTAAGTGGAACGAACGAATTCGTGGATCTTCGTTTGATCCGTTCGGTATGGTCAACTTAGAACAAGTGACACTAAAGTGCCATAAAATGGCACTTGTCACACATCGATCTCAAGCTTCAAATTTAATAAAAATGATTACATGGACCCTTGATTAATTTTTGGAATATAAAATACCTACTGCCCTGGAACACTGTACAGTTAGTTTAATGTCGTCCAAAAATGGTAATTGACCTCCAGATTTGTCGAATAGAATTAGAAATTTTATAATACCAATTCGACTGCTCTATTTCGTTATAATAATCTCTTCGATAGATGAGAGGAGATTAAAACGTATAGCATCCAGGGATCTCCGTTTAGCGAGGATGCAGCCAACGTCCAATTATCCTCCTTTATTTTTCTCATGCATTTGAAATGCACGGCTCCATTCTCTAAATGAAAAGAGGATAACTCTATGATGGTCCTTGCCTTTTCTTTTTTTTTTACACATCAGTCGGCAACGCTGAATGCTTCTCTACTCGTAATCCTCGGCAATCGCTTTCCAGACTGTTGCCCTCCATTTGCCCCCGACTGATCCGAAGTTTCTCGGAATTTAAAAACCGATTCCTTGTACCGGATGTATTTTTCTACGTTTCTTTAAAGAATACAGTCCGGCCATTTTTCCACGGCACCTTTTATAAACCACCATCCCTGGATAACAAAATAACCTCGACGGAGACTGAAATCCCTCAACGAAGTCAGGAACGGAAGGAGAGTAGAATAAATAGACGACAAAGTGAGCTCAGGGTCGGCAAAAGTTTATCCACGGTACAATGTGAAAGTTTCAAGGAACTCTCAACAATATATATATAGAGAGAGAGGGAAAATAAAAGTAGAGAGACAAAGGAGATTGAAATCAAGAGAAGGGTTTAGCGGTTCTGTTAATTTTTCACGATAATCTCGAGCGATCTCGCGACACGCGGGTACGTTTTCTCAAATATCCCCGACGATTCGTGCGGTGCTCGAACGCTGATGAACGAGACCCGATAACGCTGGAACAACCCTTTTCTTTCCGCGTAACGATCGTTCGGACAAAGTATCTACCGGTCGAATCAGGTCGAGGAGAAAATAATTATGCCCGGCTGTGACACGCGTGCACGTACGATCTCGACCGACTCGATCGTCATTTAATGGGACAAAATCGTTTTCGAATTTGGTTAATAAACGGTGAATCCATAGGGTGGAAAATCAATCGGAATAACCTGATATTTGAATCATAATGGTTAACGAGAAATCGATGTTATAAAAATCAAAAGAGAGTAACGCAAGTTTTAATAAAGTTCGATCTGAACTTTAGTCCATCCGAACTTTTCTCTCGAAAGAAAAGTAATTAAACGAATCAATTAAATCAATGAAGGTGTATCAAAAAGTTCTTCGTTTCTTTAACTTTGAATCGTGTTAATGATAGAAGGAATTTTCATTTGCAGATTGAGCAATGCGTCGCAGCCAGCGATGTTGGTTTCACCCAGTTTGGCCACGGTGATGATCCTCGACGACGATCACAGCGGCGTATTCGGCTTCCCCGAGAGGGACATCGAATTGGTGGAAAGCGTGGGACAGTACCCTTTGAGAGTGGTGAGATACAGTGGTGCCAGGGGTCGTGTCGTCATCCCTTATCGCACGATCGAAGGTACAGCCAAGCCTGGCAAACAGTACATGCACACCGAGGGCACGCTTACCTTCGAGGATAATCAAACCGAGTAAGTTCGAATGAAAAAAATGTATCCTTACTTTTAACAGCATCGTCAGATGAAAAGACTATCCATCAAAATTGCAAGCTTTGAATTGAATAATTAATCTAAATCCCCTTTGGTACATTTATCGTTTTCCCTAGGGGTGTCTATAGAGAAGGGTGGAAATAGAGATCTCTATCGAGACATAGAGTAATTTAAAATTAAAGATAGATTTTGAAAGGCATAGTCGTGACAGATTTACGTAGTCGACGACCTTAATTAGCTTACTCAGCACCCTTAAAAGGGGTTTGGATTTAGGTAATTTAGGGTGGTGGTCGGTTATCAAGGTGATCGCTGCGTTTTTATCCATCCAGGAAGAAGGATGGAAATTCATACTTGACCTTAATCGGATTTTCAACGGGCGTCACCTCCGAGGAACCTCGAGTGGTTTATTCTAAGAAACACGATCGACCAATCTGATTACAAATGCTCTACAATTACGCCATTCGTTCTGAAATCATTGATAGTCATCAGTGTTGCTTTATTAGCGAGGGTGGTAGATTCCAAAGTCAATTCAAGAGCTTTTAGAGTGCTTTCGTCGATTCAGGCGAACCTTCCTTTCCTTTCGTGTATGTGCATTGATTCACACGTACTCGCTATTAGTACGTGAATAGGATCCATGAATGCATTTAGTTAGGGTCATCGAAGGGAGAGACGAGATCGAAACGCGTTGGATGTCCCTTCGACACTGATTTAACAAGATGGTATGACCTACATTTAGCGTTTCTAGGTAAAATATATACTTCCATTGATTGAGACTGCTATATACAATATATACAATTAAAACGGTTGCGAGAGTAGAGATAGAGGAGGGATAAGATAATTTCGAGCAATCACTGTGCAATCTCAATCCTGTAAATAATTTATGGAACGAAGTAAAGACACTTCCATGTAGCTCGATTCTATACCATAATCATAGTCGATACAGAATGATGATCAATGTCAAAATTACAAATATACATAATATATTGAAAAAGATTTCTGTTTGCTACTTAAATTCTTTTTTAAAGAAATTAAAATTTTTATGAATAAAAATGATTAATTCCTCAACTCAATATTTAAAAAATTATATAATTACTTAACACTAGAACTACTGGAGTTCGATAAAAATCAACATGCATTTGAAATAAAATAATTTCAATTAAAAAATTTAAATAAAAAATCTAGTTCTAGTGTTAAACTACAAATGATTAGAATTTTCAATTTTATTTTTTAATTTGTTCAAATTGCTTATGATTTGTTACTTTATATTCTACCTTAACGGCTGCGAGATATTTCATTTCCATAAATCTGCGCGCCAGTAGTGAGAGTCAGCGTGTTAAGCGGCGCGTCTGACCCAAGGTGGCCTTATTCTACTTGCAGATAATACCCGCATCTTTCTCGCGGTCATGCTTACGGTTCATTTATTTCACCGATCCATAATCTCAACGAAAGAAATATTTCAGGCTGCTTATAAAATCGAAGAAGGATATATTTAATCCCTCTTTTATAACCTGCATCCCTTGTTTAACCGGTAACTTGTAAAATATTCCCGTTAAATATCCGCTGGGAATACAACTGGGATTTACGTAGAACGTAAACGAACGATACCTCAGCATTTACAAAATACCTCGAAATTTTACGGGCTGGTGATAAATCGTGAGGGATACCGAGACGGAAGCGCGAGGAGCTTCGTTCGCAGTACGTTTTATTTCCGTGCGTCGAGTTTTCTAAAACCTACCCCGTAGTTTTTTCAAGGGGAAGCTGCTGCGATGAAGCACGAAACTCCACGTCAACGCGCTTGTCTCGGGAGACCGAATTTTCGTCCTCCCTTTTGTTCCGAACAAATGACTTTCGTTTCTCCCCGAGAAGAAAAAAAAGACGATAACATTTTTTCTTTTAAGAAAAGAATATTTAGAGAAATTGTTGGATGTTCGAGGAATGATATTGTGTCATCAATTTTCTTTGGCTTTATTCTTTTTTTTTTTTTAAATTTGTATTCGTCGAGGATACGATAAGTCAATTTTTCCACCCTCCAGGTACTATTTGTGATTTTATGAAAATTCTAGACACTTTGGGGGTAGGTTTCCCTTATCGGTCGCTTAGGAATAGAGGGCAACAATGGTAATATCGGTAGTCGTCGGAAAGAGGAAAAAAAAAATGAAAGCACGAACCCGTAAATGGGCCAATAGAGGGGAGGGAAGCCCTTAGAATGCAGCGTGTTACACCCCTGTGCACCCCTCGACCCTCGTCGAGTCAGACAACCCCGTTAACTTCTGAAGTGCTAAACACCCTCGTATCTCGCGGCTCTTTTCTTCTTTCCGTCAGCCTTTCCACTCAAACAGTGCAAACATACCCGAAGAAACAGTTTTTCTTTCATCGGAGAGAGAATTTTCGCAAAATTTCTTTTACACGAACGACTGACACTCGGACGAGAGTGGTGAAACTTAATTGTAGAAAATTTCTTAAAAATCACTCACCGAGCTTCTGTTGTAAGAACGGCAAGGTGTGGTCGCTCGAGTGGCGGCAATGTTTGTCTTTCTTGAAAGCATCTTCCCTCCAACTGCAACAATAAAATATTCGAGTTAGAGAAAGAGAGAGAAAAAAAAAACGAAAACAAGAGAAACTGGCGTCAGTATCGCGGGATGGGTGGGAACCCCTTGAAACCGAGAAGCAAATCCGCCAAACCGTGGAGATTTACGGTGGCAGAAGTCGAGGATTTATTATTCACCCCCCACCCTTGTACCCACCCTTTACCGTCACATGGAAGATCCCGTCCGCGAACGTTCGAATTCATTCCGAAAACCATGGAAAATTATGACCCGACCGAAAGTCCTGCTCGTAAATTTCGGCCGCGCAATCGTGAAGGGGTGGCACGGAGGGGCGGTGGTTCCCTCGGAACCGTGCACTGTATACAGAACGAACGGTAGAGAGTGAGAATCATGGGCGTGGGATTCTGTTCATCGATTAAGCTTCGACGAGTTTCAGACTCGCTTCCTTGTAATCTGCCATTCCTGCCACCTGTACATGAGCAGATTAAGCGTTCCTACGGTAATACGCTTTCCAACTGAAGTCTATACTAAATTACACGATACCTACAGGGCGTTCCAAGATAGATTTAATTAAAAGATCAAAAATTAAAATTTTTATTCCGTAATTCCTGTAACTCCCGGAAATGGGGGGTTGCTGGGATGATTCTGAACAACATTTTCCTTTACCAAAATGTCGTTTGAAGCTTCGTTTTTGAATTATTAACGAAAAACATCTGGCCAATCAGAGCGCGCCTTTAGCGCCCCATTTCCGGGAGTTACACCCTGTATAAAAATAAATGTTGAAGAAACCGTTTACCATCTTATAATGATTAAAGATTAGATTTTTTTCGAGGAGGTATACTCAAGATGAAATCGAACTTCCTTAGGGAAAATGGCGATATATTTGCGAGGAAAGTTCGAGTCGCATATAAATTGGGCGAATTAACGAGAGATACTTGCGAGCTTTCCTCGAGAAAGATCCGCTCGAATGAATTTCGAACCGCGACTAACTTTCGACTTCCGAAGCCTTTGAGCTTTCCACAAAGTTTCCGTCCTATCGACGTTTCATCGAACAACTTTTCCGATTCCGAGAGTCCCTTAATGAGCGCCACTGCGACAGAGCGTCGTTAGGACGCTTCAAAGCTGCCACACGCGTATCGCGAACCGATGTACCAATCTATCGATTCCTTTTTTTTCCTCAATCGTTAGGGGAACTGGGTGTGGCGCATACTGCATCAGGACTGTTTGGACATTGAACGTAAAGTTCGACTTTTCATGATTTATAATTAGGTGATTGTTAGAAATCCTGATGGTTCTTTGAAATCTAACGTTAGGTGTAACTTCTAAATATTTAGAATAAAATTTGAATAGTTATTTGCAGATTAGTTTGTTTCATCGTAATAGCGAAGATTATCGAAACAGATTCACAGGATGTTTCATTCATAAATACTCCATTCCATCGAGTGTACATTTAAGGGGAATGAGAGGCTGATAGAACAGGAAGAAGAGTAAATTGCACTAACGAGACCTGAAATTACACCCCGTCGCGTCCACTCTTTCTTCATTTGCAGCCTCCATTAAGGGGTAATTATTTTGAAACGCGTTTCTAAATACAATAGCTCGCGATCCAATAACGAGTTATTCCTTTTGTCTTCCTCTTCACTCTTCGTTATTTCATCAGGAATTTATGCAAACTGTTCACTCGACTTTTTGTAGACAAAAAAAAAGGGAGAATCTGTCAATCACAGGTGTAGGTATTTTGCAGAAGAGAACAGAGGGAGAATTCGTTTCATTCTTTATCGAACGCACGAATTTCCTTGCTTGATAAATACCCGGCTCGTGGATCGAAGGATAATCCCATCAGCGTTTCACCAACGGTATTACGTTCATCCTGCGAGCACAGCAGGAATACCAGATAGCCCCGCACTTATTTCATATTCCCCGACCACAATGCACCCCCGCAAGCCGCTTAAGTCCTCATCCTCCTACGCGTTCACGTTTCAGGGGGTGCTTCTCTTTTATATATGTAGAGAAGGGGATCGTTTCAACCCTTTCCCCGTGGCAAACTTCCACTGATAAGCGGTATACGTATACCCATCGTTTCGAAATTTCTGCCCAAACTGTAATCCGAAGTGCAAGTTGTGATAAATTGGAAAATTGCAAGTTGAAAGTTGGAAGTGAAAAGTTATAATGCAAAAATTGGAAAAGTTGGAAGGTGGAAAATTGAAAATTCAAAGCTTGCAAGTTGGAAACAGGAAAATTACAAGTTAGAAGGTGGAAAATTAAAAATAGAATATTCCAAGTTTCCAAGTTGGAAATTAGGAAATCACAAGTTGGAAGATGGAAAATTAAAAATAGAATATTTCAAGTTTGCAAGTTGGAAATTAGAAAATCACAAGTTGGAAAATGGAAAATGGAAAATTCAAAGCTTGCAAGTTGGAAACAGGAAAATTACAAGTTAGAAGGTGGAAAATTAAAAATAGAATATTCCAAGTTTCCAAGTTGCAAATTAGGAAATCACAAGTTGGAAGATGGAAAATTAAAAATAGAATATTTCAAGTTTGCAAGTTGGAAATTAGGAAATCACAAGTTGGAAGGTGGAAAATTAAAAATTGAATATTTCAAGTTTGCAAGTTGGAAATTAGAAAATTATACAAGTTGGAAGGTGGAAAATTGAAAATAGAATATTCCAAGTTTCCAAGTTGGAAATTAGAAAATTATACAAGTTGGAAGGTGGAAAATTGAAAATAGAATATTCCAAGTTTCCAAGTTGGAAATTAGAAAATCACAAGTTGGAAGATGGAAAATTGAAAATAGAATATTCTAAATTAGAAATTGAAAAATTAAAGCTTTGTTTTTCCTTCTTCACCTTTGAACTGCAGTTTACTGTAACATTCTTGAATGAACATTATCCTTGTCCGATGGCCGTTTGCTACGGAGCGTGCATTAGTTGGATCCTTTCTCGAGCGTATCCGATTGCACGTGAAATTAGTCTCTTTGGGATATTAGTGTCACCACTTGGTGCACGACGTTGTTCACATCGAACGATCTAATTTTGCTAGGGAAATCGATAGAACGCGCGCGCGCTCTTGTTTCTCTCGTCTCTGTACCACTCTGCCAGACATCGACGATTATTGCAAATTCTGCCGGATTTATCGGTCGATATACCGCGACCGTTCTACCTTTCGATTCTAGGATTATCACCGATGTTCCATGATAATGCGATGTTTGCATAATCGAACGGCCAGTTTTTGCAAACATTTGCGTTTGCGAATCAAACGTTTATGGGATAAACTAACCGACGCTGATGCCTCGTTTCTCAGCTGGAATAAATTTACATGAATGAAATTCGAGATAAATCACGATATCTGGAGTTCAACTCACTGTGAATTATATGTAAATTAAGAGGAAAGAAAATTAGAAGGTTCAAAGATGTCAAGTTGCAAATTTGAAAATTCTAAGCTACCACCAAGGGACCATACCGAGGTGATAATCGCCAATTTTGATGAAACTTCGCAGTTTTCCAGTTCTCATAAATTCATTCGACACATATTTTTTTGTAGCTTCTAATATTCATTTTAAGGTGTTGAAATCAGCCCTCAAAGTTGAGGGTGCAGAACATACTTTGTTGAATTTCTCGGAAACCATTAGAAATGGAGGTGTGTCGTAAATTGGTGCAATTTATGTTTTTGAACAGATTTGCAAAATTTCCATTTATTTACATAATATGTTAAAAAATAATACATTTTTGTTATTATTTTAAATTGGAAATTTAATCGACTGCAGAACTGCGAAGTTTTATCAAAATTGTCGATTATCATCTCGGTATGGTCCCATGTAAGTTGGAAATGGGAAAATTGCAAGTTCCCAAGTTGGAAATTAGAAAATAGCAAGTTAAAAGTTTGACGTTTTCAAGTTAAACACTGGAAAATTGCAAGTTGGATATTGGAAGCGTGGAAGTTGAGTGTTGGTGCGGAGAAACAGTCAACAGGAACAGAAAGTTTAGCAAACAGAACGTGAACGAGCAAGAACACGAATTTGTTACATAGCCCTTTACGTGGGTGGGTATCGCTTGTATGGATTGATAAATCCATACTGTGAAAGAACGTTTCTTCGACAGCTGAGCAGACATTTCTGCTTGAATGACAGCTTTCGATATTTCGCATCGACTATTTCCATATACATATAATAACAAATGTTCAAGTTCATCGCTTCGTAAATCAATTATTAACAACAGTTTACTTTCCTCGACAAATTGATCATTACGAACGATGGAGTTTCCAATCTTGAACCTGTCGAACAATATATTCTTCACCGACACGTGCATCGTTCGGTTCCCTATTTAACATGCCGCTTACACACCGTCTATAAACTCTTTAAAGCTCAGCGAAGCTCGCTCCATAAACTTCTTCAAAACAACGTCCTCGTGTAACAAATCGATCGACCTCGACTTCCATGCGACACGAAAAGACTACCGAAAGATTCGGTAGCAACAACACGGGACGACAGTAAACTTGCGCAACTGAAAATCTGGTAGACAGGGAAGTTTCTACAAGGAAGAGGAAACGACAAAAGAATACACATTTGCAATGGAAATTGCTTTTTGATAGCTAGAATTCGGTTTCGGAGAAATTGAAAACTATCTGTGAATTTCTTTACATGTGAAGTAGAAAGAAATTCAGAGGAAGTTGGAAGCTGAAAATTTCTAATAAAAGGTTTCAACTTGGAAGTTTGGGAGTTTGCAGCTTGAAACTCGGAAATTGGAAAATTGGAAGATCCCTAGTTGAAATTTGCAAACTTGCAAGATCCCCAGTTGGAATTTGGAAAATTGGAAGATCCCTAGTTGGAATTTGGAAAATTGGAAGATCCCTAGTTGGAAATTGGAAAATTGAAAGACCCATAGTTGGAATTTGGAAAATTGAAAGACCCTTAGTTGGAATTTGGAAAATTGGAAGATCCCTAGTTGGAATTTGGAAAATTGGAAGATTCCTAGTTGGAAATTGAAAAATTGGAAGGTGCCTAGTTGGAAATT